ATGGTATGCCACAACGGCAACATTGATCTCGAGAAGACCGTCCAGAATGTCGAACAGGTTTGCAAATATTTCCGCATGGAAACATCCAAGGCGAAACAGATCACAGATCTCATCCTCTGGCGAATTGAGAGAATGAGCAGATCGTTTTCCGGATGTCTTCGACATGATCCAAGGCATGGAATCCATAAGGAATGCAAACGGCAGGTGGAAATGGGTCCTGATGGATCCGTCGAGCTCTATGACGCATTGACCTGCGTTACACATGCCAGGAACTTGATTGAAAACAAGCCAGGACTTCTCTTGATGGCTATGTTCCCGAGCTATGGAAAATCACGTGTCGAAATTGCGTTCGTATTTCCATCCGTGGACGGGACATATAATGAGCGCAAGGCACGGGGAGAAATTGTTCCAAGGAATCGATGGATCGACAAGCTCAACACCAGATCCGCACAAAGTGCACTGAGGCCCGATGGCAAGGACTTCTATGTTGATCCTGAGATGGAGTTCTATGTGAGATGCAACAGCGGACACACACGACAAGTCGATATCCAATCCTTTGGACGACCCCTGTTCTCTGAGCAGAAAGAGCCTCATTACGACGAACCGGACTATGATTTGCCAACGGAATCCATTCCGCCAAGTCCGCATCCGTCAAGATCCGAGGCGCCTCATGGAGATGAAAGCACAGCTCAGCCCAAGTACAGAGTGCGAAGGCCGGCGCCACCATCCGTTGAAGAAGAGAGAAAGATCAAGCCGTTCTCGAAGAAGCCCATCCATGCAACCTATGGAAGTCAGCTCTACAGCATCATGGAGCAAGGGCTCAAATCTGGGAAGTCCCAGTCAAACCCTTCGGGGAGAATGCACGTTCACATGGCATGCATCGATGACGTCATCCTCGAAGACGACGATTCTGAAACCGCATTGACCCATGTGCCAGCAGGAAGAGATGCGTTGCTGACCCTTGCATTTCTCAAGGACCAAGACTATGGCATCCGCCTTTCCGAAGAGAGAACAGCGTTGACAGACAAAACCATCGAGGCAAGAAACATTGTTGCAGCATTCGAACCTCATGGCGAGCAACAAGTGGATCATGAAGAAGTATCTCGATCATGAAGATTACGAGATGTACGACACCAAGATCCGCGAATTCGCCGATGCCTTCTTCACGTATGTGAATTCCACCAAGCACAACAAGGAAAAAGATACCTCCTCAGAGACCAAGAAGAGACGGCATTCCACCGATCAGGACTCCACCGAAGGAGAAATGATGGAACCCTCCGGGGAAAGATCCGTCAAGCCCAAGGTCATCGTGGAATATCACAGTTCAGAGATCCTAGAAGAGTTCATCCAAGAACTCAAGGAAAGCTATCTCGAAATAGATATGAACAAAAAGGACGCAGAGGAAGAGCTCGCGGGGATCAAGGAAGAACTCAAACGCTTCATGAACCAGTTCAACAAAGATCCGAAAGGAGCTCATCCCAAGTTGACAGAGTGCGAGAGAGCCTCATTGGCACATGATGTCAATCTCGGTGAAGAAGAATTCTACTTCCCTCATCGAGGAGAATGTCCCACCATTGACGAGTACAAGCAAGCTCAACCAGGATCCGGATATCCGATCAAGCTGCCGCTTGGACTGAAGAAGCTCAGGTCACAAGACCCGAAAATCATCCGAGCCTATGCCGATATCCTGGGATCGCTGATGCAGCCGACAGACCGTCCTTCCGTGGACTATCTCAACATGCATGAGTTCACCTCATCCATAGGGATCAACATCCTTACCCTAAACCATGGAAACCTCACAAGGAACCCAAAGTTGGACAACAGGGAGGTGTACAACATGCCGATGAAGGATCGACCGATCGTCAAGATGATGATGTAGAACAGTGCACACATCTTATGCCTGAATGAGGCAGACGCATTTTTCAGTCCGAATGATGAGAAATCCAGGGAGCTCATCAAGACGTTCATCCGATACGGTTACAAGGGCATTGTGATCAAGCAATGGTCATCCAGACCGATCGCATGCTTTGTCCGCGGCGGACCCTCTGCACGAGTGGAACTTCTGGCCAGACACATTTCTACCAGGAGCCAGAATTGGGGAACCACATTCGGAATGTTCAGATGTTTCTTCGAAACCAAAGGAGATGGCACTGATCCCGAATACGAAACTCCAACCTCAGATTGCTTGGCAACCACAGGAACATCCATGTTTACCAAATCCAAGAAGTACATTGGATCGAGATTGCCAGCACGCACCATTGTCCAAGGACATGGCCAAGACAAGGAGATCGTCGTTCTCCACATCGAGCAGAGTGATGAGTTTCGTGGCATGATCCCGAAATCATCCGACAAGTCATACTACGAGTATAACGACCGCCACATAACGAGGGCAGATCTACCATTCGCAACCATTGGAGTCTTCCACATCCATCCTTCACTTAGCCATGGAGCAGCAAAGGAAGATCTTCAATGAAATCATGCCGCTCGTGACCTTGTACCGATGCGATCACCGGGACGCCAACAAATGGCGAACACCTACAGCAAACTCCAGCATGTCTACAATCCAACCAACGGTCTCGTGAACATCCTCATGAGAGCATATCAGAGACTGTGGAATGCGACGAAGAATTTGCCACTCGTGGACAGAATGGAGTACACAGTGGAGACTTCGTGCACCCTGAAACCCATTGTCCGTCATCACCTGTACATGAAATGCGGATCAGGTTTTGATCGAACATTCCCAGATGTGATGATGACTATCGTATTTGGATGGGGCAAAACGAACATCCAGCAGGACTTCCGGAAGATCGAGATGAACAGTATGGATGATGAACAACTGGAATTCATGCGGAACCATCCAGACAAGGCAATTTTCGATTACCAGGTCTCATCCGCAGAGCGCTACAAGCACGTGAACAATGAAATGTTCATGAACGGCTCGCAGGACTCCGACTCCCACAGTCCTCTCATGGTTTACATCCGCAGCAAATCTGCAACCAGTAAACGCAGCTCTGAGAGATACCAGGATTACGTCAAGAAAAAAATCCTGGACCACGCAGGAGTACAAGGACTACAACAAGCAGTGGGGATATCAGAAGCAGTGGAAGGACTATAGCAGTTCGACCTGGAATGATTATGGAGACCATGGCAGTCAATCCGACACCAGCCGCCGATGGTATAGTCGATCCGACTGACCATGAAGATACGTTCAGCACCACGAGCAATCCAGATGATTGATCCTCCTCTTCTACAAGACTATACCATGAGTGAGTGATCAATAGTTTCACAATTGTTCCGCGTGTACATAGCGTTGTACATCACCCTTTGATACAATTAGGTATCCAAAAAGAAGCGTACATAGTGTTTCCCATTTCGAAGGCCAAGACATTTCATCCAGCAGAAAAAGGATGAATCCGGCACTTTTAGTCACATGGCTACGGCCCAGTGGGATCGATGGCATTTTTTACGGCCCACGGTCACACATTAAGTGCTACGGGTCACAAGGCCATGAAGCCAAAAGTTATACCAATACTATTTCAGGAGATCAAAAGAAAATATGTGTCTCCCCTGTGTTCAGTTTTTCAGACCATTGATCACCCGCAACATTTGGCTCAAGGCCCTTATGCATAATCACGGACAACCGAATCGTGAGGACAAAAATAGCCAAACACAAACACACATACAAACACCCAAACACCCAAACACCCAAACACCCAAACACCCAAACACCCAAACACCCAAACACACAAACACCCAAACACCCAAACACACAAACACACAAACACACAAACCCACAAACACACAAACACACAAACACACAAACACACAAACACACAAACACACAAACACACAAACACACAAACACACAAACACACAAACACACACCCACACAACCACACAACCACACAACCACACAACCACACAACCACACAACCACACAACCACACAACCACACAACCACACAACCACACAACCACACAACCACACAACCACACAACCACACAACCACACAACCACACAACCACAAACACACACACACACACACACACACACACACACACACACACACACACACACACACACACACACACACACACACACACACACACAACACACACACAAACACACACAACACACACACACACACACACACACACACACACACACACACACACACACACACACACACACACACACACACACACACACACACACACACACACACAAACACACACACACACACACACACACACACACACACACACACACACACACACCCAAACACACACACACACACACACACACACACACACACACACACACACACACACACACACACACACACACACACACACACACACACACACACACACACACACACACACACACACACACACACACACACACACACACAACACACACACACACACACACACACACACACACACACACACACACACACACACACACACACACACACACACACACACACACACACACACACACACACACACACACACACACACACACACACAACACACACACACACACAAAAACACAAACACACACACACACACACACACACAAACACACACACACACACACACACACACACACACACACACACACACACACACACACACACTCACACACACACACACACACACACACACACACACACACACACACACACACACACACACACACACACACACACACACACACACACACACACACACACACACACACACACCACAACGACTCATGATCCCCCCAGAAGCATGAGGCACATCTGGGCGCACCACACGCATCCCTGGAACCCTCCTTCTAACCGGACCCTTCTCAGAAACCGCCGAAACTATCCTCGGAACCCCACACCACCCCGGAGCCTATCTGGGAAGTACCCCATAGCTTTCAGGTGTTGGGGAAAAAGTGGCCGTGCGAACAGCTTCATTCTGTGAGGTTCATCTTTAGAACCAGCACAGCGTTGCTTTGCACGCCTGGTACCCGGTGGTCAGTGATGCATGCTGCAGGATTTCCTCAATCAAAAAGGCTAAGCGCAACAAGCGCTACGCAACGGTCTCCCACGGCCGTCAGTGAAATAATCAGGTCGGGTTGCTGAGAGGTTGCCCGTCATCAAAGAGCTGCTGCTGTTGCTAAGCCTAAGTCCGACTGCCGAGTGCTCTTCCACCAAGTGTTGTACAATCTATTCGCCTCATTCTTCGCAAGACCTGAACATGCTTCCATTTCATGACCCGCATCAGCAACGCATTGTGCCAAGCAGGCATTGCTACCTATCCAGCTAAGTTGCGCATCCTGCAATGTAGTGACCAGTGACGCGAAATCGTCCCCCTGACTGCGTGGGTACACAAAGAAGCGCACGACCACCTGGCATGATTTCCTTCACCAGCTGCATTGGCTTCCTGGTGATTTCCCTTTCACGACCAACCAAAAAGGGGGTCCAAGTTGAGAAACTCCCAACATGGCCATGGGTCAAAATCCCGTACCCGCAGTGAACATCCCAACCCCCACTGAAATAGACTAAAATGGGTGGTGCACCTACCCCGACGTGGTACCATTGCTTTTGACCCACAGCCACATGGATCGCTTTCGTTTGCCTTCCTCGCGCTTTCCCTTGCCACCGCATGGATCGATGGATCGATAACCCCGACCTCCTCTCCCAGGCGCTCGTTGAAAGGAACCACAGTGCTCATCAGGCTCGCACGTCCCTGTACCGAATCCATGGGGTACATGCCTCGGCTTCCGGGAATCCCCTTTGAAACTTTCACATGACAAGGTCATATGAGGTCAATAGAGATTCTTACTTTATTGTGATGTCAGCACATGTTATGGTTCAATTGTGATGTTATGGTGTGAAGATATGTTCTGAATTTGGTCTTGCAGTCATGTCAATGTCTCTGCCTCTGATTCTCCAAGCTTCTACTTGTTGACTTCAATATCGCGCTTGAGCTTTCGTGCAGGAAGCGCCCAAAGAGTGCATTCCTCAGCTGAGCTGCGCCCATTTCCTGCTTGGCTCTCTCTCCCTGATTTGGCTGTGGGTCACAAATAAGTACCCAAAATGGAACTGGTAAGTGGAAACATGGACCAACATCTGCGGTCCCCTGGTGTAATTTTGACCGCCCATTTGGAGTTTGTGAGAGCTCTCCGAGCAGCATCAAGATGTAATTCTTGCTGAGGTTGCAGGCCTGAAGCCGGACATTGCAGTCTTCTCGACTCGGGCCGCCCATCCGCCTGTGCCAGCTCCTTCTGGAACACGATCAGCAGCGAAGCCACGGATCTAAAGCTTGATCGCCCTTCCCCAGAACCCATCAGGGCAGGCCCATCATCGGAGTACTTATCCAGCAGACCTGCAATCGTCACTCCTGGGCGCTTGCTTGTCGAGGGCATGATGCGAGCACAGCTAGCACAGCTAGCACAGCTCGTCCTCCCAAATGAAGTTCCAAAGGGAGCAGCCTGCTCCAGCGCTTCTCGTCCTGCGTCACTCTCTTTCCGTGCCCGTTCTCCCTGGCCCTGCTCCTCCCTCCCTCCCTCCTCCTCGCTGTCGAAGTCGTCCAGCTCCTCGGCATCCAGCGGCTCGCCCAGAGGCTGCGAGGAGTTCGCCTCGAGTCGAGCCGTCGGTCCGAAGTCGATCGCTTCGCTTCGAGCCCGGGGCTTTGGCCGAGAGATTGGCCGCGTGCCCCACGGCGAGAAGCGCTCGCTTCCCTTCTCCGCTTTGGCTGGGCAGAGCCAAACCTTGGAAAGTGCAAAGCACTAAAGCTGGAAGACTTGCGAGGTAAGTCCTTGACCAAGGCAGGGTTCTCCTCAGATCGACTCAGATCTCAGACTTTGGAAATGGTATGTTTCGGCAAAACGTGCGGCAAAGCGTCTTGAGCAATTTGCAAAGTGGGCTGGGCCTTGGCAGCCACAGCCAACTGCAAAACCTTGCATCCGCCTAAACATGGAGATGTTCTGCGAATCGGACACGCTAACCGATGCTCAGCTTCTCGTGCTCTGAGGTTTTCTTGGATTCATTGGTTCGACTCCAGCACGTGCTTATGCCGATCTCTGCATCCCAGTTTGGCATGGGGTCTCGAAACTTGGGGACCCCACAAATGATGGGGTTCTGTTAAAAAAAAAAAAACCAAGCAAAATGTTGGGCCCGCCCCAAAAAAACATTGATCAACCCTTGGTTTGTGAGCAGAGAGAAAGGCGAGTGAGAGAAAACGCCAGCCGGCTCTTCTCCCCTCATGTGTCAAATCAGTAGAAAGTTCATGATGAAACACACAAAGAAAAACACCAAACGATGTCAAGGATTCTACAGCTAACCGTACATTACGACCACTCAAGAATTCCTAGCATTCAATCTCTGGATTCACTTTCCATGTCTCCATTGTATCAAAGGTTGCCGACGCTCCGTAGAAGTCCACGAGAATCCACAAACGCCCTACAAACATCCGCAACCATCCACAAAACTCCGCGAAAAATCCACGCGAATCCACGAAGAATCCACGAACATCTCAAACAAATCACACAACTCGCAGCACGGCCTGCAAAAACCCGACCCGATCCGCTGGGCCGGGGCCGGCGCCCGAGTCGTCCTGCAGCGTCACGGAGCTCCAGGCGCCGCGCTGCAGCAGCAGCACCGACTTCCCCGGCCCTGTCGCGGTGCTGAAGGGCAACTTTGATCTGTGGCTCGAACCGGAATTCCACAATGGAACCCTGGTAAGTGGACCAAAACCTGCAGTTTGCCCCTCCTGTTTAACTTTGAGCCACACCCAAATGTGTACATGGTATGAGTCATCTTCCCACAGTCAGAAAAATATTGTAAACAATGTGGCAAACGAACACCAAGGTCACCCGCGGATTTCCAGATCTCCCCCAAAGTTGAGTCAAACTGGTGTCCGTTGAAACGCTCGCCACGCTTTGGAGGCAAAAAGGAAATGGGGGGAAGCCGAACAAGGCCAACATGTCAGGTGAGGTCATGTCAGTGTCATTTCGGTCTGGAGTCTTGCTTCGGTGCAATGTACTTCCTTCGGTGTGAGTCGTGTGAGTCTTGCTTCGATCCGTCTGGCCCTTTCCCCATCTTCCCCATCTTCGCGCCGAGCAGCTTGCTTGCTCTGCCCGATCCGCCAGCACCAAGCCAAGGAGGGGCAGAAAGGCAAAGCGCGTAGCCATCGTCCTGGGTCGCAATTTCACTTGCCTTTCTCGTGTCTCATCGTGTCTCGTGTCTCGTGTCTCTCCTTCTATCGCCTCATGCGCGTTGGAGGGCTTCCCGGGGCGTTCCAGTTCGCGATGGGCCCGGGATGCCTCTCTCAAAGTTAGTTCTCGGATAGCGTGAGCTCATGAGCCGGCCGCGCGGTGCAAGGTCCCCAACACTCACGTCGGCAACGCGCAGAACGGCACTGCCAGCGGGAAATTTCCATCGTGCGATGCCGTGGTGTGTTGGAATTCGAAGGCCTTGGTCTTTGACCACTCGGCCAGGTGCACTGTGGGCCAGCCACCCTGGCTTTAACTCAGAGTGTGGGCCTTTTGTACATCTTGCACTACTTGCACTCGCTTCGCATGGCTTTGCGAGCGGCGCATGTATCCAGTGCCTGAAGTCTCTCACTTCCCATGTTACAATCTTACACGTGCCCTCTCACAGCCTCCCACACATAGAGTCCACATTTGTTGTCCCCCTTCTCCGCCGTTTTGTTCCCATCTCTCCTAGGCTCCTAACTAAGCTCGTCCTCTTTCTCGTCGGGTGCCTCGGCCTTGCGGCGCTTGGGGCGCAGCGCCGCCTCGGCGGCGGCCAGCGACATGGCCAGCTGCAGCTCCGCGGCCTCCTGCGCCGCCCGCTCCACCACCTCCTTCGGCCGGTGCCGCCGGCCCAGCAGCAGATGCACCGCGTGCGGGTCCCGCACCACCCCGCACTCCTCCAACGTCGCCTCAGAAGAAAAGGAGCGGCGAAAAGCAAGGGCAGAACCAGGGATCAGTTGCATATGTCGCCTTTGAAGCCGAACACCACTTGAGACTGGATTCCTGGATTCCGTTTGGACGCAATATATAAGTCGATGCGTGCACATATATTGTCTTAAATTCAATATGTATTGTGGAAATCTGTATGCATATGTCTTGCCTCTTCAGCCCTTCCCAAAAACTTACGGACTAGCAATGGGATACATCTCTTTCAAACTGGGGTTCTTTAACACCGGCAAATCTTCAACAAGAACGGACCGTGAACCCATATTCCAATTGCAACGAGATGATCTTCCGATAGAATCTGAATGGGTGGGTGAATTGTGTCAAAATTCCCGGGAAAACTGTTACAAACTGAATATTACTTAAAACTTTAGCTTGAATGCAAATCCTGCACTGTTCCTCCTTGACAACATGCTAAAACACTCAAACTGAATAATACTTAAAACTGCATTTTGAATGCAAATCCTGCACTGTTCCTCCTTGAGACAATATGCTAAAACATTTGTTCTTGCTGGTTTAAGGATCGTTGCTTCCGCATTGCGTTTGCAAGCTTCTACAACACCATCGAGGTTGGGTTTGCTTGAGAAAAGCTGTGGGGGAAAATACCTCGAGCTCCCTAAAACACATGAACTGTTGGCAAAGCCGAACCTTCTCCACTGAGTTTTAATTTTTGGTTCTCTCGGGTTTTTTTCTAGATGATGCTTTGGGTTTTCAACAGTTCTTTGTGGTTTTTGAGGTGCATCACAACAACCCAAACACAATTTAAAGCAGCAATTAGATGCATTTGATACGGGCAGAATCGCATTCACTGTTCAAGGGAGGACATTGAATTCGCATCTACCGTTCAAGTCTTGACCCAACGTGATATTAAGCTCCTTTAACGGCTCGCTATACAGCTTGTAACGGGCAAGGATCATTGTAAAGCTAAGTCCTTATACAGCTCCTCAGGGAGAAAGCCTAGTAAGATAGATTTGGAGAAAGACAAACATAGAGAGACAAATGGAAGGGTGGACGCAAAGATACTTTGGATGCTTGTGGAACAGAGCTCGCGGCGACAGAGCAAGCGCGCCTGCGCCGTCACTCTGCCTCAGATGCGCTTCAGATGGATAGGAGCTGCGCAGATGAACCAGCTGCGCGCAAGTCGATGTAGCTCGGCGCACTTGCCGCAACTCTGTACTCCAGCACTGGCTCAGAAATGTCGAAAAGAGCATGGATTCTCCCTCCTCACTCATAGGCTGCAGCTGGCGCGCCCGTCCTCGCGCACAGAGCCAAGAGAGCGGGGCTGGACGAAGACACCTGCGACAGCCAGGTCGTTCAGCCAGCGCGCTGTTGTACGCGCAACGCAGACCAGTCGAAACTTTGGATGCGTCTGTAACGGCCCTCGTAGGGGCTCGGCGTCTGGCCCCTCGTCCGACCACGTGCGCCTACGCCGCCAGTTTCGCAGATGCGCTTCGGTTGTGAGCAGGTTGGGGAAGACGGGCAGGAGCTCCGCACGTGATCTAGCAGTTCCACCAGCCGCAACTCGGTGCTCCAGCACTGGCATCGCCAGCAAGCCTTCCGCAATTTTCGGAGCACAGTGGCAATGTTGAGGAGCTCGGCTTGAGACAGCGTCCGGGTATAGCGCGCTCCGCATAGTGCGCACCAAGCGATAGGCGACCTCGCGCCGGGGATGACACAGACCCAGAGTCTGCTCGAAGCCAACAAGGAAGAGCTGTGGCAGTGAGATGGCGCAACGCGGCGCCCCTGTTGCGTGGTACTGCTGCCGGGCAGAAAGTGCGCCGTCCTGATGCTCGATTCGAAAGGCCCAAGCCAGGAAAGTCTGTATTTTTGTTGATTGCCACCAGGAGGGGGACGGACAAACCCCACGCGCCCGTGCGTGGGCGCCTTCCTGGCCCTTCCTCTGGCGCCTTTTCTTGATCGCGGGCGGAGATGGGGGGGCCCCCTGTTGGTCCTCTTTTCTCCTCTTGGCCTGTTGCGTGGTGCGGATGGAAGCTCGGACATGTCACAGGAGGCCGGTGTCGGGGTTGACACAGTGACTGCTGTACCAAGTCTCTCCTTGTAGCAAGCCACGATGCGCCGTGCCAGCGTGACTTTGCTTGGGGCATTCAGAAAGGCTTCCAACTCCGGTGTCTTCTTCTGCCCGTTCAGCTTCGTGGCCATCGGCGCTGGACCTGCGAGAGCTTGCAGGATCTTTGCTCGGTAACTGAGCTGGACCAAGCGAACTCCATGGATCTTTGCTCGGTAACTGAGCTGGACCAAGCGAACTCCCTGCTGGAAAGCAAGGTCATAGAAGGCTTGGAGCGCAGGCTGCTGCAAGATGGGATTCAGGTCCAGCAGCTTGCAAGCTGCCTGCGTCAGAGCGGCTTCGTCTCGGGGAAGGTCCGGGCCGGACAAATCCATGACCTTCAGAGCGTGTTGGTACTGCTCCATGGGCTCCATGGGTTCCACAGCTTTTCGGATAAGCTTGCTGTTGAGCAGCGGAACTGGATCTTCCAGCACTCGGGACATGGCCACATAGCCCGCAGCAGGGACATTGAGTACTCATTGCACAGGATGGCCACAGCGGGCAACTCTGCCCCTTGCACTTTGGCAAGGGTGCAGGCATAACCGGATTCTAGAGGAAAGAATGCCTGGTTGGTCACTGCGTCATCCCGGAGTGCATGCGTCGTTGCCAATGTCACCAAGTTGTTCTGAAATCGAAGGACAGTGCCAATGGCCGCAGCTTTTTTGCAAGTTCCGGGGCAACATCATGCGCTGTCCGCGAAATATATTCCCGAAAGCATCGCGAAGGGTTCTTCCGTGCGGAGCCCTTGGACAAGTTACACAGAGCCAAGTTGCACAGAGCCAAGTTACATAAAGCCAAGTTACATAGAGCCAAGTTACATAGAGCCAAGTTACATAGAGCCAAGTTGCACAGAGCCAAGTTGCACAGAGCCAAGTTACATAGAGCCAAGTTACATAGAGCCAAGTTACATAGAGCCAAGTTACATAGAGCCAAGTTACATAGAGCCAAGTTACATAGAGCCAAGTTACATAGAGCCAAGTTACATAGAGCCAAGTTACATAGAGCCAAGTTACATAGAGCCAAGTTACATAGAGCCAAGTTACATAGAGCCAAGTTACATAGAGCCAAGTTACATAGAGCCAAGTTACATAGAGCCAAGTTACATAGAGCCAAGTTACATAGAGCCAAGTTACATAGAGCCAAGTTAGAGTTAGAGCCAAGTTGAGCGTTAGAGCTTACGGCGTTAGAGCCAGCTATGTAAGTTAGTTTAGGTTTCTAAGGCGCCGGGGCGGGAGTTTGATCGTCGCTCGGGATTGCGACCCTCTGCGGATATTCGCGTGGTCGAGGTCAAAAAACTGGGGACTGTTTACGATTTCTGCGGTGCGCGCGCGACCCTCTGCGGAGATTCGCGTGGTCGAGGTTAAAAAACTGGGGACTTTTTACGATTTCTGCAAGCCGCGCGCGACCCTCTGCGGAGATTCGCGTGGTCGAGGTTCAAAAACTGGGGACTTTTTACGATTTCTGCAAGCCGCGCGCGACCCTCTGCGGAGATTCGCGTGGTCGAGGTTCAAAAACTGAGGACTTTTTACGATTTCTGCAAGCCGCGCGCGACCCTCTGCGGGGATCGTGCGTGTCGAAGCGCTCTCGCTGTGGCGCCGTGCGAATTTGTTGCTCGCGAAATGGCCTTTGGAAGTTGTCTCGTGGCTCGCGCGCCTGCTTTCGCAATCCCGCGGTCGCGGGTTCGATTCCCCCCTGGTCCGCGGCAGCTCCGGCTTGAAAATCGCAGCTTTTAAGTACAAACGTAGTACGCGGAGCGTGCTCCTGCAGCTCCGGCAGGAAAATCGCAACTTTTAAGTACAGACGTAGTATGCGGAGCGTGCTCCCGCAGCTCCGGTTGGAAAATCGCAACTTTTAAGTACAGACGTAGTATGCGGAGCGTGCTCCCGCAGCTCCGGCTGGAAAATCGCAACTTTTAAGTACAAAAAAAGTACGCGAAGTGCATTCCCGCAGCTCCGGCAGCACTTGCGCAGAGCAACTTGCGCAGAGTCACTTGCGCAGAGCAACTTGCGCTCTGCGAATTGCACAGAGCAGTTGCACAAAGCACTTGCGCAGAGCAACTTGCACAGACCAACTTGCACAGAGCACATGCGCAAAGCGCTTGCACGGAGCAACTGGCGCAAAGCACTTGCGCAGAGCAACTTGCCCAGAGCACTTGCGCAGAGCAACCTGCACAGAGCACATGCGCAAAGCGCTTGCACGGAGCAACTGGCGCAGAGCAACTTGCACAGACCAACTTGCACAGAGCACATGCGCAAAGCGCTTGCGCGGAGCAACTGGCGCAAAGAACTTGCGCAGAGCAACTTGCTCAGAGCACTTGCGCAGAGCAACTTGCACAGAGCACTTGCGTGCAGCAGCGTGCAGCAGCTTGCAGAGAGCAACTTGCGCGCAGCAGCCTGGAACAATGCAGCTTGCGCAGACCACTTTCGTGAGAAATCGCGCGGCGCAGTTCGAGAGGAAACTAGGATGATGAGATGGAGCTCTCATGTGACCATACACATTGAGCATCGCCGCGTGCAGACACGCTCGCCGCAGCGATGTAAAAAGGTGTCTCCGCGGCTGGGTGAGCACCTGGGGAAAAATGCTTTTGGGCCAATCGTCCTCTAGTTTTGTTCTACGCCAGGCTCGAGCCGCGCGCGCCCCAAAGGCACGTGCCCAGCGAAAAGCCCCCGCTCCACTCCACTGTGCTGCGGGCAACTGCGACAGTGCGAATGTCAGGATGCGCTTGAAAAAGCTCGCGCAGGGTCTCAGGAGTAACTCCGCGCCCAGCGTTGCACAGTGTGCAAGTCTGGCTTGCCAACGCGCAAGCCGCGCAGCAAGGTGTCGTAGCTACCTTGGGCGCGATGTTGCGCATGGAGGCGTACCTCGTAGCACCGCCGCCACGACGGCGCACAGGTCGCATCTGCAATTGGCGCGCCTTCGTGATGGATGGGCTGTAGCTGCAACCAATCGCCAAATCCAGCCAGTGCTGGCAACTGGCCTGCTGCGTGCCATACATTCATGCAAAAGTTCCGCTCCAAGCAGAACAAATTCATCCATCAGAATGAGGTCGTGCTTGCACACTTTCGCTGCCACTCGTTCCACGCCTTGGCCGATGCCAAAGAGGCCACGCGCTGTGTCAACTGCTACCTCCGCATCGCCCAGCTGGTCGCGCAGGCGAGTTGCCTGAAAACCTGAAAACGAGCACACCGCGACACGGTGCCCGTGCGCGCATTGCCGGGCGAGTTCCACGAGCAAGTGAGTCTTTCCAGTTCCAGGGCCGCCGGTGACCATGATGCACTGCTTATCCTCCGGCTCTGCATCCAGCTGCGTCACGATGCGATTGAAGAAAATGCGTTGCTCGGGACACAGGTCCCGTGCCGCGAGCGGCACCAAGAGCCTCCTGGCAGCAAAATTCCGGACCAAAATTTCCAAGTTCGCGCCAGCCTCGCCGTGCAGCAACAGCTGCGGGTGGCCTGGTCCGAGTTTCAGATATGCCCTGTCCAGGTCACGGCGCAGCACATAGATTGCAAGTCGCTGGGCAAAGTCGATGCGCTACTGCACCAGAGCCCCCGGTCTGATTCCACCAAGGCAACGTTGAGCAGGAGACTTTCTAATCCGCGTCAGCAGCACAGCCTAGGGGTCTGGGCGGGTCCTAGCCCCACCCACCACGGCCTCCCCGGCCACCACTCGCATCTTGCAGGGGTCCAGCCCCTCGCAGCACTCACGCCTGGCGACCAAGTCTCGGGCGTGTTGACACCGTGCGCGCCCCAGGAACCAAAGTCAAAAAAACGTGCGCTGGGCCGAGCTGACAGTCACAAAAATGAAGATTCGCAAAAATCAGGCACTGCAACTTGTCTGGAGGCACGCGCAGATGGCTTGCGGCTCCAGCCCAGTGAGCGCCTCTCAGGGGAGCCTGCGACCTCCAGCCCGGTGAGCGCCTCTCTCTAGTGAGCGCCTCTCTCTAGGGGATGGATCTTCTTTTGGGCCGAGACGGATCTTTCCACCTCGCCCGGCGAGCGCCTCTCTCAAAGCAGCCGACGGATCTTCTTTTGGGCCGAGACGGATCTTCTTTGCCGAGCGCCTCTCTCTAGGGGAGCCTGGATGGCTCGCGGGGTAGACCTTCTTTTGGGCCAACACGGACCTTCGGTTCTTTCAGCCTCCAGCCCGGCGAGCGCCTCTTTCTAGGGGATGGATCTTCTGTTGGGCCGAGACGGATCTTTCGACCTCCAGCCCGGTGAGCGCCTCTCTTGGATGGCTCGCGGGACGGGATCTTCTTTTGGGCCAAGACGGGTCTTCTTTTGGGCCGAGACCTCCAGCCCGGTGAGCGCCTCTCTCTAGGGGATGGATCTTCGTTTGGGCCGAGACGGATCTTTGGACCTCCAGCCCGGTGAGCGCCTTTTTTGGATGGCTCGCGGGACGGGATCTTCTTTTGGGCCAAGACGGGTCTTCTTTTGGGCCGAGACCTCCAGCCCAGTAACGCCTCTCTCTAGGGGATGGATCTTCTTTTGGGCCAAGACGGATCTTTGGACCTCCAGCCCGGTGAGCGCCTCTCTGTAGGGGATGGATCTTCTTTTGGGCCAAGACGGTTCTTTCAGCCTCCAGCCCGGCAAGCGCCTCACTCTAGGGGATGGATCTTCTTTTGGGCCGAGACGGATTGACCTGCAGCCCGGCGAGCGCCCTCTTTGTAGGGGAGCCTGGATGGATCTTGGGACGGATCTTCTTTTGGGACGGATCTTTTGGGCCGAGACGGATCTTTCGACCTCTAGCCCGGTGGGATGCTCATCCGCTCCGCGAGCTCTGCCGTTGCTGCCCGCGCGAGTCGAGGCCCCCTCTGAGCGCCCCTGCGACGCCTCCCGTCTTCCGCCTCGCACCGGCTGCCGGGCCTGCAGACACAGCGACTTGGCCTCCAGCGCACGTTGGTAAGTGCTCCATGAACGGGCGGGTCTTAGCCCGGTGGCAGGGTTCTCGATGATCCACATGAGGGGGTCAAAGTGCGCAATGATCTCAAGGGCGCTGAGCAGAGCGTCGCCCTCCTGGAGCCGCCGGGGGCGCTTCGTCAGCGCTCGGCTGTATTCCGTGCAGACCGGGCTGGCCCAGACCATGTCGAAGTGCCCCGGCGGGAGCGCCGTAGTCCCAGCTCCGGACGTCGCACAAGATCGTGGGCTCAAATTTCGACACGATGTCCAGGGAGATGACTTCCCAGCCCGCTGCCTCGAAGGTTCGGCCTTCGTGCCGCAAAACAGCTCCAGCAGTCTCGGCATCTCTTTTTTGAATGATCAATATCACCACAACGAAGCTTGCAAAGGCGACGGCGCGGCTCAGGCAATTTCGCATGCTCGGACCAACCTTTTTTTAAAGTGGAAACTGAAAAGTGCGATGAAACCCGCAAGCCAGAAGCCCGAGCAGAGCATGTGGCGTTTGGGCGACGTGCGCTCCAATGCTAAAGGAGGCAAGTTCTTGACCCTGGAGCCGTTGGTTTGGCGCAGCGAATGCCCCCGGTGGAAATCCCATGGGAGCCTAAGGCCTTTTCCCAGCGTGAGCTTTGCGACCGACGAGCCCACGAAGCTCTTCTGGGAGCGGCCCGAGGACGATCTGGTCGAACAGCTGGCGGCCGCGTCCGAGCGCGTCTTTGACGCAAAACTCACGCCCGACGCCGTGCGCCAGCGGCTGCTGCCCTCGGTGAGGCAGTCGCGCGGCGGCGTGTGGACGCTGAAGGCCAAGCTGCCTGCCCACGCGCGCTTCTGGAACGTGGCCGGCACCGTCTCCGGCAAGTCATGGTCCATCGCATGCGCATGCCGGCTTGGACTCATCCCGCAAAGCGCTTATGTGTCTGTCTATCTCTCTCTCCCTCACAACCATTCTACCCAGCTCTATCTCTATCTGTAAAACTAGCCCTCTCTCTCTCTCTCTCTCTCCCTCTTTCTTCTTCTCTCCCTCTCTCTCTCTCTCTGTCTCCGTCTCTCTCTAACATTGTCCTCCCTCCTCTCGGTTCTCTCTCTCTCTCCCCCTCTCTCCTCTGCCCCTTTTGCTCTCTCTTCTCTCAATCTGTATAGCTACTTCTCCCCCTATCTACACAATCTCTCACTCTCTCTCTCTCCATCTATCTGTCTACCTCTATCCCTCACTCTCTATCTCCCTAGTTTTCTATCTACCCATCTGTCCTTCCTTTTATCTGTCATTTTCTTTCTCTCGCTATCTGTCCATCTACCATCTTTCTACCCAACAATCTAGCTCTAACTCTCCCCCACTCTCTCACAATCTATATAACTCTCTCTCTCCCTCTCTCTTTTTTGTCTCTCTCTCTCTCTCTCTCCAATTCTATCTGTAAAATACCTGTCTCTCGATGTGTGAATCCCGCATAGTCAGATTTAAAATAAGACTGCCATTTTGATTTGTTTTTTTGAAAAACACTGAAAAAAGATCGCAATGGCATGGCCATGTCAATTGGAACTTAAATAACCATTCCTTTCTAAATTCGGTTTTTATTGAAGTCAATTGCAATGCAAATGGAACTTGAATGCCTATTTCGAAGTGGATTTTTATCAGTCCGCACCTTGGCTTTTGGAATTTTGGGCGCACACTGTGCTACAGAGGTAGGTCATGAGCCAGGGTGTTATGTGTATACCTATACCTTATTGATATCATATTTATGGACCTGTAAAGCAGCAAACGCTCTCAGCCACGCGGCTGCCATGTCCGTGAGGGGTCGCATCCGGAAGAGCAAGCGCCCCTTTTCACAGCCGACGCTCTCCCGTACAGATCTTAAAAGCTCCTCCACGGTGGAGGACGTACTTAACTGAAGTGATACCTGGCATAGTTGAAACGCCTTGGGTCCCGGCGCGGTTGATGTCCATTTGTTTTTGCTGGTGCCGTTTTCTTTAAGCCGGTAAGGGACACCAGGAACCCGATGGAACCCGCCGATGTGAATTCCCTCGAGTTTTGGGAGCCCCGTACTGCTCCCTTGCCTGCGATCCGGTGTCGGCTTGAGTGCCGTCATGGCTGAAGTACATGACCCGCACCGTCAGCGCCAGCGGCTTCTCCGTCCGATCACTCCTGTTCCGATCCTGGATGGCTCAACCTCCCAAAAAGTCATTCGTGACGGGAAGACAAATCAACGCCCAAAGATGTTCAACTCGATTTGCAAAAAAAAAGGAGAGCCACACATGCTGAAGTTAAGTTCTTTAAAAGACGCTCAAAAAGATTGGCTTGTTTCCAACTTATGACAAAAGCTTCACTTCTGCGTTTGGCGTCTTTCTCCTTCACGTTCGACAGCTCCGGGAGCTTGGGCAAGCTGCCCAAGCTGCTCCCGGCCTCGCGGACCGGGCACACGATGCGCCGCCGCGTGGACTTCTTCGGCTTCCAGTCCATGGCATGGGACTGCGCCGCATTTCTCGGCCCCTTTGCGGCAAACAGCGGGAGAACGGCGAGGGCCGATGCGCAAGAAGCAACCAGGGAAGATGTGCGAAAAATTGACAAAACATGCGAATGGCATCAAGGGAAAATGCGCACAAAAAAAGATGCGCATGGCAGGAAATGCAAGAAACTGAAGAAATTGCCCTCGGAAGCCTGAAAAAAAGTCTGTCCAGCGGCGTTTGGCGGGCAAAGCGAGGCGGAATCGACCTGCTCCAGTGAGGCAGACTGCTCTTTGTCCATGTTGTCCTGGTTCTGTTGCTGGCTGCCTGGGAAAGGACCAGCGCCTCAAACGTTCGCAGGTTTCATCGGCTATTGGCTTATGTAAGATTGGATGGCTTATGTTGGATTAGATGCAATCCGCGTGCACTCGGCTTGCCTTGTGCTTCGAGCTGGCGCTCCAGCTCCGTGGCTTCCGCCTCCAGCTGCTGCCTGCGACTCCGGGCCTCCTCCGCTTTGCCGCGCGCCTTCCAACGGGAACACCGGAGCCCAGGCGAGCGAGGCGGCGAGGCGGCGAGTTGGACCCATGGCCTCCGCCAAGGAAGCCGTCAACGCCAGCAGCTCGGCGGCGCAGGTGTCATTCGGAGCATCCTAGTCGTAGGTCCCTCTATATCCCCCAGCTTGGTTCCGCTTACTGCGGCCCAGCGGCCGTTCCGCGCGCCTCTGACAGTTGGTCCTTCAGCATCCTCAGCTGACAGGGGCTCACACGTCAAACGCTGCACTTTACGTCATGTGCAGGAACGGGCAAGATACAGCCAAGATATGCGGGCACCAAAAAGGCACCCTACTTGTTTGGTGGAAACTCTTGATAATTTTAGCCCCTCAAGTCTCGCTCCCGCAAAATGCACCCTGCTCGTCGACTGGAGCGTCCTTGTCTCGTCCAGTCGGCCTTGTATAGACCTCGCTTTCCGCGTCGATCCAAGCGTGCGTGCCAAAAAAAGGCCGCAAACGCTGGGCTTTCAGCTGGGTTTGCAGAAGCGCATCCCGCTTCTTGTTTGCCAGCTCCTGCAAACGAAGGCCGACCAAGCGGAACATGGACGCTGGCATCCTAGATCTCCTGGGTCAGCTGCAGTTGTTCCTGCTGCTTGGCAGACACCGCCTGCGCCCAGGCAAGCTGAGGCATTGGCAGCGAGCCATTCACGTTTCGAGTGGGCGACCCTGCGCCTTCGCCAGGCTGGCGAGATTGCTGCCGGAGACGCTCAACGACTGGGGGCTCGAGTCAGCGGCTCGGGTCCCAGCCGCGCGTTTGGAAACTCCCAGCCAGAACCGGTGCCTCCAGCAACTCGGAGAGGCGCTGGCATTCACGTTCGCTGCCTCGCCGCTTCTCCTACGCGGCAGGCACGCCTCGCCCGCTGGTACCCCAGCTCTTTCTTTCCCGTCCTCCGCATCCGCCACCGAGTCTTCGAGCCCCTTGACAAGCCGCGCAAGCTCAGCTGCGCCGAGTGGCAAAGAATCGCCAAACCTTGCTGGAGGTCTTCTCCATGTCAAGGGTCACCCTCGGCTGCAATCAACAAATGTCCCTTGTTGAATGGCTTTAGGGGAAACCAAAAGGAGACCAATCACTTGAAGGCCCCCCATTTTGAGAAACGCTCAATACGTCGTCGGCTTTGAGGCCAGCACTCCAAGCTGTGAGTCGACTCCTGGCGACATAAAACAACCAGTGTTCGCACACACAAAGGCCCACCGAGTCCTGCAAGTTGTGCAATTCCGCCCCCAACTCCTCCAACGCCTTCTCCAGCAGAACCAGCTGCGAAGCCTGCGGCTTAAGGCGCACGCAAGTCAGGACGCATCTTGCTCTTTGCATGCGAGGAGCGCGCGTGGCTTCCTCCTCGGCAAGGCGCTGTGCCTGGATGCCCGCAGCCGACTTCAAAAGCAAACGTTTGCCAAAAGCGTCGGAATACATCTTCCTATCATCTTTGTTCCCTTTCTCACTCCCTCCCCCGAGATGCCCTGATCTATCGCTGCCTTGCGTTGCTCTCGAAACCCCTCACTCCAACCACACTCTCAAGCAAACCTTCCCAAACCATGCGCTTCCTCACCAACTTCTCCGAATCCCACCCCACCTCAACCCCATCATGCCCCCTCCTAAATCCCCTCCCAGACTCACATTAACTCCCGCAAGAAGTCAATGTAGCCACTCAAGCAGCTTCTTGTTTCTGCACTCGACAAACGGAATAGGACCCCCCCCCCCCGACTCACAAGTCCCGCGGGTGGGCTGCGACTGCCGCCTCGCGGCGCTTTGCCTCCGCCTCGCGCCGCGCGTCGGCCGCCTCCGCCTCCGCCCGCGCCAGCGCCGCCGCCGCCGCCGCGCCGCTCCGCTGCAACTGCGCGCGCTGCGCCTGGAAGGCCTGGTAAAGAGTTACTGTTACAGGCAAGGCTTCAAGAATACCCCTACTTGCAAAGGGGGCCAACCACTGAGATCCAACTGTGACTGGTTGGATGCCCTCGATGACACAATCCTGGAAAATGGGAAACCAGAGATGCCCTTGTTCTCCAATTGCAAGATTCAAAAATCCGTCATATCTCCCAGTGAAGCGCCGTGCAAATTTGGAACTGGCTGTCACCTTGGTAAAAAGAGCTCACTCATGCTGGAGGCTTTACTTGCACAATCCTTAATTCAGGTTGGTGAATGATAGCATCAAACAACTGCCGGGTGTCTCGTTTTTTGAGGGTACCCTCAACTTGCGTGGCGTTAACGGGGAACCAACAGGTAAACTCGCTATGTGTTGGGTCTCCGTATTTTTGACCCCCCCAAAAAAAGTTGCGCCTCCCTCGTTTTCCAGGCCATCCACCCCGTTTGCTCATGGGCAGGCATGAAACGGGGCCGCTTGGGCCGCTGGACATGTCGCTGGGACATCCGGAAACGGACCCCCGCGGGGAAGGCCATGGAAGGCCATGGCCAGTAGCTGAAGCAAACTTGACATGAAACCTCCATCAGAGTTTGGGAAACAGACTTGATTGAAATTTCCCAAAGGGAGGATCAGCTGCAAATCCCAACTCTCAGTGCCCTGGGAGACTCTCCCTGTGCCTCGGCGTCCTCGCGCATGAGCTGCTGGTGCTGCTGGCACGCTGCCTGTCACAGAGCTCGCCTCTTGCCACGGAGGGGCCTTGCTGAAACCTCGTCGGCAAGAACCTCGTCTTCCATCTCCTGATCCAAGCGTACCAGAGAAATATGTTCAAAAGAAACGAGCATGCAAAAGAAGACTTGTCAAAGCTGGCAAAAATCTCCTGAGCCTTCACCTTGCGGATTGAGATCTCCACCTGTGTCGGGCAGGTCTCTCTCTCTCTCTCTCTCTCTTTCTCTCCAAAGCTCTCGGGCGGCTCGTTGATGTCTGCACATCACGTGCTTTTTGCTTGGGCACTCCTGCCCCCACCGCAAGGCAAGGGTTCTCTGATCGAATCTAGCCAAGGATGAGTTGACAGGAATTGCGAAGGAAGGTTCGCAAGCTTGCCCCTTTGTGCGCTACTTCCACCAATCCGGCGGTGATCATGTGACCCAGCAGCCCGCACAATCCGGCAAGTGTAAACCTGAACAAAATCTGCTGCCAATCCTTGCCATGCACTGCACGGTTGCATGCGGCTCGGCTTTGGCGAATTGTCAGTGGACGGAAAGTCTGTTGCTGCCTTTAGCACTGGGCATGCCGCCGCTGTGCCATCCACTCTATGCGAAAATGTCCGGGCGGACGTTGAATTCATGCCCCAAGCAGGCCTGGCTGAACTGGCACATGCTTCAGCTCCTTGGCCGGCTGGGTGTTCCCCAGCAGCGCCGGCAGCTTTGCCTTCGCCTTGTTGGCCTTGGCTTTGGCGTCCTTTGCGTCCTCCACGGCTTGGAGCGTGAGCTGCACGGCCCGCGGCACGCCCCCGGCGCGCAGCGCCTTGGCGAAGTATCCGCTGCGCTCCGCGAAGGACGGCTCCGTGGCCACGCGGAGCAACGCCTGGCGCACCTCCGCGCGGTAGGCGGCCACGGCGCTCGCTTCGCCGGCGTCCGGAAAGGGCCGTGGCACCTGCAGGCCGACGCCCAGCTCCGCCGCCTTCTCGGCGTTCACCGGCTGATCTCCGAAGCCTGGGCAGACGACCACGGGCACCCCCGCGGACAAAGACTCCGTGAAGCTGTTCTGGCCGCCGTGCGTGAGGAAGAGATCCACCCCGGCGTGGAGAAGATCCACTTGGGGCACCGAAGGTCTGCACAGGGCGTTGGACGGCACCTCAAGCCCCTCCAAGGCATCCGGCTGTGGGCCCACGGAAACCACGAGCAGCGCTTCTGAGGCGCCAAAGGCGTCGAAGAAGCCGCTCCAAGCTGCTTGGCACAGCTCTTTGCCAGTGAGGCCCTTGCGCTGGCCGCTAGTGTTCTGGATCTTGGCCTCCCAGCCGAAATCCGGGCTGTCGCCGGTGATCACGGTACCCATGCTGGCGAAGATCACCTGCCGGCCTGCCGCCTTGGCACTCCTCACCGTCTCCAGCAGCTCCTGCGAAGCCTCCGACTGCTCCGACTGGCTGCCTTGGCTTTCTGTGGACCTCTGGGTCTTCAGCTTGTGCCCGGCCGCCCGGGTGGCGCCGGACTGATCCAGCAGCGGGCCCACCGCCACGAAGCGCGCGCCTTCCGCGCGGTACTTCTCCTCCAGCTCCGCGGCCAAGGGGTCCTGCAGCTCCTCGCAGGTGGTGACCAACGTCACGTCGCTCATCGCGAAGGGCCGCATGAAGCCCATGGACCGCAGGCTCTCCGTCAGGTCCATGTGGATGCCCCAGCGCGCCTCCATCCTCGCAACGCACTCCTTCACCGGTTGGAAGGCCTCGATCTCGGCCAGGGCACCCTCCAGCGAGGCGCCCATCATCCGCAGGAACTCGTCCATGGCTTTCACCATGCTACCCGGGCCGGCCGTGGTGAGCAAGCCCACGGACGGCAGCTCCAAAATCTCCGCCGCGTAGGCCGCCTCCACGCTCCTCAGTCGGCCGAGATGCACCTTCAAGACCGGCCTTGGAACGCCTTCGGCTGCAACAATTAAGAACAACTCTGAGGGATCTCAGTTTATACGGCCGATGCAAGGCACGCCAGCGGGCAGTACACCACCGCATCTGCCCGGATCTTCTGCAGCCAGCGCATGAGCCCGGGAAGCTGCAGCTCCATCTGAATGGCCATCAGCTTCATCATCGCATACATCATCGGCTCCTCGGGTCGCATCCCGCCGGTCTGGCTCGCGTTTCGGCGCGCCCCGGCCTCCTGCAGGCCGTACTCCGCCTTGAGAGTCTCCATGCACCCGAAGAAGTCCTGAGAGACTAACCGCCACTTTTCAGCACGACATCGGACACGCCACCCACCTCTTCGCGGCTCTCGTAGAGCTCCGTCTCCTCCTGCGAAGGCCACGGACTGAAACTGAGAGCTTCGAAGTCGCGTGCCGTGCCTCAACGGCTGAGGAGTAGCTGGCCCCGCAGGCTTCGATGGCCTCCCGCATCGGCTCCTGAGCCGACAAGCCCTCCGACGCTCCGACGCTCCGACGGCCCGAGGCCGGGGCCCGGCAGAGGTAATGCACCTGGTGCCCTTGCTGCAGCAGCAGCCGCGCCATGGGCAGGGATGGGTTCAGGTGACCCGAGGCCATCCTTAACTCCAATTTGCTTTCCGATCCCAGGCCCACAAGAAAATCAAGAAATATGGCGGCCGGGCGTCGGAAACACGAAGGCGAAGGTGTATCGCTTGTCAGTGGCCGCCATGGCTTAGGATATGTTTTACCGCTTGATTCAATGGCTGCTGGCGATCTCGCCCAACCGGGTCCCGGAAAATCCCAACGCACAAATACCGTCGCATTTCGCTCCATGCCCAGCACGCCTTCAGCTTCCCGATTTGCCTCTCCAGCTGGGAGGAACGGTCCTGGCCGCATGGCTACTGAGCCCCTTCGCCCGGCGCGTGAAAGAACCTCGGCGCTTTGGATCCGGTCCAGGCCATGCTGCAGGTCCTGGCACGTGTGCCGCTCCACGCCCCAGAATTTCACCAAAAGGCCTCTCTGAGATCCGAAATCTGGATGCTCCGCCTGGGGAATCGGATCGGATTTCCGGCCAACGACCGAGCGTAGCCTCGACAACTCCATCTCATGGTAGTCCGACATGACGAATTCGTGGTGCTCAAGGAGCAATCAATTTCGCCTTGCTTCCAGTTTTACCTTCAGGTTGCGCAGGATGACAAAGTAACAACAGGCAATAATTACACGTAGATTTCACGAGCTTCGGTGGACTGGACAACTAAACCTCTGCACTGAACAACGCAAGCATCAACAAGAGCATGTTGCTTTTGAGCTGCAAATGTCAAACCAGCTTGGGCATCCAGGTGAAAACTCCGCAAACATGCCGTAGCAAGTCTCCCTCGTCTCAGTTGGCAAACCATTTTGTCGGCGTGAACCGTGGCCAGCGGCTGTACTTGGCTGGCGGGTGCAGCCAGCGCCGGACTCGCACAGGGGAAGCAAAGCGCAAAGCGCAAAGCGCAAAGCGCAAAGCGCAAAGCTCATGTGTTGATGACCAGGAAGATCAGAAACGCCATCAAGGCCGTCAGGCCGATGATGAGGCACAGCCTAAGACGCGTCGCTGGCGGTTTTTGCGCGCGTCTCATGGCGGAATGCATTTCGCCCACTCCCGAGGCCCGGGCTGCTTGCTGTCGCTGGTCTTCAGCAGTTTGCCCATGCGCTTCATGACCTGATCGCTTGGAAATCTCTTCGCAGCCTTCCGCCTGAGACCCTGCGACAGACCCTGAGGCTCGGACAAAGTTGAGCTTCTCAGCTTCTCTGTCGATGTCCTGGTGGACCACAAGTGGCACTTCTTTCTCGTTTCCCTCTGCGTTTCCGCGATGTGTGCGCCTCGTCTAACTCTTCCAGCATTTTCTGCTGCTCCTTCAGCTCCACATTGATGATCCTGAAGCTCCCAAGTCTCGGCCGAACGGCTGGCACGTTCCGCCGAGCTGCTGCGCCGTGTTGCCCAGACGCTGCGCGCTCATCGAGAGCATCTCCAAGTCCTGGACATCGCGAAGCTCCCATGCGCCGAGGGAAGCGTCCGTCCTGGTCTTGTTCTGCTCTCAGCTGGGTCTGCTGCTGCCGCTGCCGATCCAAGAAGGCTTGGTTGTCCTGAGCTTAAAGTTTGGCATCAGGCGCTGGCCTGAGGGCCACTGTGAATCGTTGTCCTGCACCGCACTCTTTTGCCGTTCTTCTCCTGAGCGGCCAGTTAAACTGCCAGTGTTTGTGGCTCGCGGGCCGAATTCAGAGCCAAGTCACGAGACCGCGCGTTGGAGGCCGCGAACGACAGCATGGCCTGCAGACATGTCACGCGATCCGAATGGAAGCAGCTTCCTCCAGACCGCTTGCGTGCGCATTCGCATGCGTCGCCTTCTTGTCGCTCTCAAGCTTTGCCCGTGTCTGTGGCCCGCGGACGTCCTTCCGGGCTGAATCGGGCTGACAGCTTTCTTCTGCTCTCCCAGGTCGCCCAGGTCGCCCTTGAGCCTTTCACATCTTCGGTCTCTCAAGTCTTCCAGTCTTCCGGCTTCTCACTTGGTCACTGATGGACCAAACCCCGCAAGCCTGACCCCGCGAGCGGGATACACGGATAAGCCATAAACCACCTACCAGCCGCGGCCTAGCGGCTAAAAAATGTACCTGGCACAGCCGGTTCGCGAACCGGATGGACCCAACGTCGAAAACCAGCAAGGGGCTGCAAAAACAGTCATGTTTTTGGAGTTCCTGGGGCGTTCAAAGTAACCCCATGTTCTTGGAGGCGTTCCCTTCGTTCCAAGTTGTAAGCCTAAAACCGCATGGACCAACAAAACGAGCGGAGCCGCTCGTAGCCCACCGGCGGCTCCTTTTGGAACTCCTCCAAGGTCCTCCTGGACTCCGCCACGAAGCGCTTCCGGCTCTGCAGCTCCGCGTCTGTGAGCTGGAAGGTGCCGCGGTTGCCCTCCACCATGCCGATGGTGGCCTGTCACTTTCGTGGGGAAATTTCGTCGGGAATCTTGGGCTCTTCGGATCCCCCCCCCCCAAAAGACAAAAAAACAGAACGGGGCACCACTAGAAGAACTAAAACACAAGCACGAAGCGGTACGGAATGAGCCGGTTTGGGATCTTAAGCCGGGGATGGCCTCGCAAAGGGGCCAGTCCCTTTCAGGGTCCAAAGGCTCTTAAGATCCAACTGAGCGTCGACTGCTGCTTCAGGTCACATGGATCTGTCTAGAGTTGTGAGAAGGCCAAGAAGCTCAAACAAGAACACATGGCCGAGCAAAGTGAAAGTTGAACACAGGTGCGACTTCATGCACGCCTTTTGGTGGACAAGTGCTCTGGTCTCCGTTTCTCGCTGCAAAACAGAGTCTTGTGGTTGCATGAGGTTTCGATGTTTGTAAATGAATCTGCTCGTCCTTTTTCCCCGACATGTTTTTTCCAGCGCCAGGTGCGAATGGTGTGAAAGAGACTTGTAGTGGTTGAACTTCACAAGGGTCACAGTTCCCTCTTTCCTCTCACTCGATCCGACCCGATGTTCATGAACGCGGATTGGTTGGGCTAGGTTCGGAGGGCGGGCGGCGGGAGCCTGTTTCGGCGCTTCCAACGCGTCAAACGCAAAGGCTGTGAGCCGTTGAAGGGTGAGTGAGCCCTGTTAGTTGGAAGAAATGTCATTTCACCACTGCGCCTGGATGAGATCGCGTGGTATGGAAGGACTTTCAATCACCGGATGCGTTGTTTTGTTGCACCGAGAAAAAAAAAGTGGCCGAGTGCTCACCACACCCCCGAGGCGCATGGATGTCATCCAGGTCCAGGCCCAGCTGCTCCAGCTCGCCTGGGGGAGTTCGGGTGCTTTGAACGCAGATCTGACAGCTGACTCCCGCTAACTCTCGCTGACTCACTCACATAAAAACGCCCAAAAGCCCAAAAATACCAAAAAGACTAAGACCAGTTTCTTTTTTTTAATAATAATAAAAGAAACCCCAAAAATCCAAAAAGACCAAAAAGCCTAAAAAGCCCAAAAAGCTCAAAAAACCCAAAAAGCCCAAAAAGACCAAAAAGACAAAACAAAAAACAAAAAGCACAAAAAGGCACAAAAAGCCCAAAAAGACCAAAAAGCACAAAAACACAAAAGGCACAAAAAGCATAAAAGCACAAAAAGCACAAAAAGCACAAAAGCACAAAAAGACCGAAAAGGCCAAAAAGACTAAAAAGACCAACATGTTTGAGTCTGCCGAGGCAACTTCCGAGGCAAAAGCTATGGCTCTGGCCTGTGAGCTCCTCATGCGTCCGCTGGAACCGCTGTGACCGGGCGGTATCCTCCGTGTGCAGTAGCCGCTTCCAGTCCTGGTGCAGGCCTGGCCATCCGAAGCCCATCAGTCCATCCAACTTTTCTAAACGACTCACCAAACCCTAAACCCCATAGTAGGGTGTAGAAGTTAAAGTCTATTAGGGTTTAGGGGTTTAGAAGTTTAGGGCTTGAGGGTTTAGGGTGTACGTAAACCGCCGGATGCGCGCGAGAGAGCGAGCGAGGCTTTGCGCCTCGGAGCTTGTCCATGGCCTTGGCCACCTCCTCCTTCGCCACGTAGTACGGATCCGACGCCGACAGCATGGCGCGTTGCCGATCGAGTCTTCCGAAAGAAAGAACAAAAGGAAGGAAGGCGCGCGGAAGGGAGTGCCCGTGACCTTCGAGACGCTGGAAGGATTCCTGGTGCTGTGTTCTGTGAGGGTCCTGCTCTCGTTTGTGCCTGCCGCGAAATCGGCGCACGAAGCTCGCGCTGACGCAAGGGAACTGGAAGCTGTCAGAGCGGGTGGAACATTGAAGCGTCAGGCGACCGAAACCTGTTTTCCAGATGAAAGCCTGAGTGCAGCATCGGAAAATTGCCTTCGGCAAGAGGGATCTGCAAAATCTCGACAACGTGTAGCTCTGGGTGTTGGGTTGGGTAAAAAAAACCGAGGCTTGGGCACAGCTCTGTTCACATGAGCTCGGCTCCAGGTGCCGTTTGCCAACGCCAAGGCACCCTCTTCTCTCTCCCCTGACACTTGTGAAACGAAGGTGACGCCACTTCAGCCCAGACAAAGACCCGCCGAAACAGCAAGTCACGGCTGTCATAGAAATTGCGGCAAGCCCGCCCTCTTCAAAATAGGATCAGCAAATCCGAGCCCCGAATTCTCTGCCCCGGTCACACCATCACTTTGTGACCCTCCATTGCACAAACTGGTAAGCCTGCGGCGAGCATGTTTGATTTCGCAGGGTTGACTTTGGAGGCGGCTAGGCCAAATTGATTTTCAGGGCTGGTTTGGCAAGGCCGAGGTCAAAGACCGCATCCCGCAAAATGAATGGAACTGCCCTGGGTTTCTGGCCCAAGCTTCCCACGCGCCTACGTTGGATGAGTCGAACATGTGCATACTCACCTGGACGATGTAATCCGGGCGCGGCTCCACGAAAGGGCACGTGGTCTGCACTGGCACCTCCAAAACGAATCTGGAAAATCGCTCCGAGGTCCCCCCTGCGCCCGCGCCTGCACCAGCGACCAGGTGGTGGCTTCATGCCTCGCCCCAACCTGGGACAGTGGCGCGTCGAATTGAAAGGTCAAGGTGCCCGGGCCTCTGTAAAGATCTGGTCCAGCTCGGCTTCAGCACATCGCGTGGAGGACTGAACCCAAAGGTTGAAGAGCCAGCGATGGAAGCAAATCACCTCAGCGCCAAATTGGTTCACTGCGCGGGTTGTCCGCTCTTTCTCCGGTCTGCGTGTGAGGTCCAGCAATCCAGCAATCCACAACCGAACAAAGTGTTGGCTCCACTGAAAATGCCGGGCAAAAGCTTGGTTGCTGATCCCTCTGCACAACAAGTTAAACTTTTTGCGGCTTTAGTGGAAAACCCTTTTCCCAAAAAGTCAAAGTCCAAAGATCCAACCGGGCGCTAAGAAAGGGGCCTCTTAGGACTGACCCCGCGGCGACCAACTCACCTTCGACCCCAAGCTCCGCCAGGGCACCGCCAGCAGCACACTGGCGACGACGAAGCTCACCGTTCTCAGGAGGTCAGGCCCTCTTTCCGCGTGGACAAAAGCTGCCGCAACCTCCGGACTTCCAGGTCACACCAGGTGGCATGTCGCAGTTGCATGTCTCGCAAGCCAAGAAGCGCCAGAGGCGATGAGGATCATGATGAAGGATGAAATCACCAAGAATCGTCGCACACCGCCAGCACTGGCTCGGTCGTGCTTCTGCAGCGCCAGATCCACCTGCTCCTGGAAAGAAACGGCTGACGAGAAGAAAACATCAAAAGCTCACCTGGCCCACCCAGTCCTTGATCTGTCTGTAGTCTTCTGTCGACAAGTGTGCCAGCAGCAGTGGGGGGATCTCCTCTTGCAAAGCCCGTGCCGGTCCATTTGGAGACTGCAGCTTTTCAATCTGCAGGGCCACCGACTCGAACATCACCGGGAAGCCCAGCAACATGGCATCCAACCGCGGCCGACCGGCTGTGACTATGTCTTGAGAAAATCCATGCCTGAACTTGTAACTTCAGCTCAATGAATCCGAATCGCTACTCCTCTCGAGCGAGTGTGGCATGGTGCCACCTGCAGCCGACAAGAAGCAGCGCAGCGCTGTGCTGGTGCCAGCGTCCTCCCTTCCAAAAAAGTCCGTATCGAGAGCAGGGGCAACTTGCTTGTTATACTCGCTTTGCTCACATATGTCGGGCTTCAAAGCCTACCCGAAGGCACCGCACGGAGGGGCAAGCTTGAGCAAATCAAATTTGTCTAAGAACAGAACACGCAGCGTCTTATCTAAGAACTATTCCGTCTCATGACACATGCAGAACAACAAACTTGGCACAAACACATGCAACTACAACACATACAACACCGTACTTCATTTTGTAGCCATACCGATACTTCGCAAGCCGATTCTCCGTGCGGGGCTCCCGGAGCTCCCGGAGCTGCACCTCTCGCGCGGCGCCAGTTCCAGGAGCGGGTCGCGAGGCCGGCGCCTTGCGTTCGCAAGGACGCGGCCCGCGCGGGTTTTCTCTTCGTTTTTCGCGGCGGAGAGGTGCGATTCGCGGTTCGGAATCGCAAAAGCAAAGGCAGAGATATGAAGAGACCACCTCATGTGATTCTTTGGCACGTCTTGTGCATTTTGTGCATGACACAAGCATGTTGGCTGTTTGGACGAATGAGCGTTGCCGCTTTGCATCCGGCTAGACGGCGCCCAGCCGATGCCTCGCTGTGGCTCTGCAGGGGCCGGAGTGAAACACTGAGCACGGATCGGGATTGGCGCACCCCAAGCCGGGGAGCGACCCACAGCAACCCCCGTCGGTGCCTTCCAGCGAACGCCGGCATGCCGCTGGCCGCTTGCTCAAATCGGGAAAGAAACCTCTGGGAAGCCTTCAGGGTGTTTTTTTGTGTGTGTGTGACGGGAGTCTTTAGAGGCGCCGACAGGGCTCCCTCGTGCCACTGAGGCAAGCGAGGCTCTGGGCTCATGCCACGTCAGGTCGTGGAAAGCTTGAACAGGCTCAAGCAACATGGGCCCTTTTTGACTTCAGGTTGCACATGTGTATAGATGTCGCGTTTTCCCACGCCTGCCCCGAGCTTCAGAAAAAAATCAGGCAGGCGGTTCTCCGAGCGTCGGAGAGCCAGTGGTCCACGTCTGGTGCTATTTCTTCTTGGCGGTTGGCCTCAAAGCATCACACTTGCAACTGAGCGAGGGTACTTTCCAGAATGGACGCCGGGTGGCTTGAGCACGATGAATTTACACATCAGCGTCCTCAGAGTGCACCCATGTTATGTAGGTGTCACCTCCGTCAAAAACTCAGCGGCTCCCTGTGCAGTCAAGAATCTCATCCAGGGTCATCATCGCTCCAGCATTGTCAAACTCGCCACAATAGTTTGGAGCGCTAAACAGCGTCACCTCAACACCAGGGCGGGACTACAAAAGGGATCCAGGTGAATAAGACAGGCATCTGCGACAGCAAGTACAAAGCACCAAAACCCTTCAGCTAGCCTGGCAACAGTGTGGCTTTCACACGCAAAACCGCGAAAGGCGCTTTTGTCGCGCCCCCTAAACTTCGTTTGGCCCTAACTCAGCTCTTCACAAGCTGGCGTTTGCCGAAGAACTCGTACCTGGCAAATCCGGCACTCCGTGCCAGTCCGTCGGTAGACTCGAGGCGCACCCATCTTCCACCACTTGGTGTGCCCTGCAAACGAGATCTAGGTTGTAGCGCTTCAGGAATGCGGCCACGACATCTGTCCTTCACAGGCAAGCCACGGATGGCCCTCTTCTCGGTTTTCTCTCAGATGTCTCTCTTTTCCACAAGCCCGGTCCCAAAGACGTAGGAGACTCCCCGGTCGTTCTCGGCCCATCCCACATAATCCCTGGCAGGCCGCACCATACGGGTCGTTTCTCAGCTCTCACAGCGCCTGTCAGGGTCCGACCAAAGCCTCAGCGCAAGGCTCTGAGTTGTGCGGTTTTCTCTCTTGATTTTCTTCGCTCGTTTGGCTGTGGGTCAAAACCCAGCAAACCCCTGGTGAACATCAAAATAGGTGGTACATGGGTGTTCATCCGCCCCAAAATGGCTCGGCAGAGGCTATGACCCATGGCCGGTGGTTTTTGAGGTCCCCGCAGGTCACACACGAGCCCCGAGTCGGGCACGTCTGTAGGCCGGACGATCTTCCGGATCTGCCGACAGGCATCGGAGATCGGAGATCGGCGCCCGGAAAGGCGGGAGGTCCTCAAAATACCCTTGGCCCCTAGAAAGGGTTGTTTCTTTGGGTTGTTGGGCCATCCACACCAAGAAAAGAAGAAGAAGTCCATTTTTTGAGAAACCTCCAGGGGATGGGGGCACTTGCCACTCGCCGCAAGGCGACGGGCCTGATCGAAGTGCTGCAGTTCTGGCGAGAGGCCCCCGTGCATGCAGATCACTTTCCTGAAGCAAAGGCATCCAGACTTTGGCATGCGCAAGGGTCCACGATGGCCGTGCTTCGTGAGGGCTGAGGCCGCAGCTCATCGACCAGCGCACTGATAGGCAAGCAGTTGAAAACCTCAAAGGCGGCATCACGCAACGCTGCGCGCTCAGCCTCAAAACGAAGCACGACTCGTTTGAGTGGAGCTGAGCCCTGCTGCATCGCAGAAGGTCTTCCAGAGCTTGATGTTGAAGCGTCGCTTGCACTCGTCGTAGAACCCGTAGATACGGGTGATGGAAGCGCTTTCGTGGTTTCCGCCTTGCCAAACGGAACGACACATCGCTTCACCGAAAACACACCGAAACGTCACCGAAACCGACTTTTGCTGAGGCTGTTTGGGCCCCTCGCGAAGCAGAAAGAAGTTCTCGGGATACAGCGCCTGTCACGACCCACTTCATCCAAGTCGCAGTCGCACGAGTCGCATGCATGCCTTGTACGCAAACAACAGGAGGATCGTCTCGAGACTCTGCTTGCCTGAGCCGCATGCATGTTCGGACCCATGTTCGGATCCGAGTTGGGTGGCTGCAAAGCGATTCGCGACTCGTGCCTCGGTCCACGTAGTCCCCGAGGAACAGGTAGTTGGCATCTGGCCTCGTTCCCGGCAAGAAAGAAACACTCGAAGCAGTGCAAAAAGAGAGAAAAAGGAAAAACAAAAAACATCCAGATTTGACTTTACATTTATACAGTGCACAGCTCCAGGCGGATATTTCCCAAACTCAAACATGCGGAGCAGGTCGTGGAATTGCCTCGGCGCTTCCGTCTGCGCGATTTTGAGCAGCACATCGCGCTTCCAAAGCCAAGGTGCCCATGCACATCTCCACAGATTGTCATCGGCGCCTGGATGTCTGACTTGGCGGGTAACCATGAAGGTAACCCCAAAATGGAACAATAAATGGAAAGAAGTCTTATGGACTGAAACCCCCCAATGGCTGGCAAATAGTCTGTGGAATGACCTCCCAATGGCTGTTTTGGGGTTACCTGCCAGCTATTGGGAGTCCAATGGTGGTTTGACTTCTGGCCCCTGTGACCACGTTTCACGGCCCGCCTCTAGCTCCAGGAAGGGACTTTGCCCAAGAAGGATCCCGCGGACCTCGGCATCGAGGTATGGCAGGCCAAAAGCGGAAGTGATTTGCTTCCCTCGCACCTGGAGGCATAGGCCCTTGATCTCCAGCTCCTCAAACCTCAGCGAGCTTCTCATTGAACTTGACAACTCGGTGACTCGGTGAGGCCGAGAATGCCGCGCTACTGGCTTCCCGGGCTTGGAGTGGCGCGCATCTAAGCACCTCGAAGGCCGCAAGGCCGCAAGGCACTGACGCGCGCTTCGACGCTGGAGGCGCGCTGAGCAGCCCGCCTCTTCACGAGGTCTTGGAAGTCGGCCGGGTTCGCCATGCTTGCGGCCTAGGTTTTTTTTTTTTTTTTTAAGCCACGTGAGGGACCGAGAGTTGCCAGCGAGCATTGCCAGTAAGGCCCAGGCCTAAGCACGTGCCGCAGGAACGTGAGGCTGAGCCAAAACGAGGCGAAATTTCGCGATTTGCACAAGCAACGGGGGGAGCCATGCTGCAGATTGACTCGTGCACATGAGGCTGCATTGGCTCTCGGCATGTGAGGCTTTCTGGCGCGGACAGATCTCACGAGCTGCTTACATTGGCAAATTCAAATCCGCAGGTCCCTTGAGGTTGCGAGGTGAAGTCAGTGAAGTCACTCAGGCAGGATCAGTTCATCGCCACTCTGGAACCTGGCAGGGGATGCGGGGCATCTGCCATCTGCGGCATTTCCGCGGGGCTGAGCCATGTGCCCTTCAAGTTCTGAGACCTCGGGGTATGCCGCACCGTCGCCCAAAGCCGCACCCAACGCCCCTGCACGCAAGCGCGACGTGTGTTTCTTTTTTCCTCCTCCGCTACAGCAGCTGCTGCTGCAAGGTGCCGGGGCGGCGCCGAGCCCAGCCTGCCGTGATGGAGAGGCCAAGGGTGAAGGCCGCGAGGAGGTAGGCCGCCATGGTGGCCGTGGTGGCCTGGCGGAACCCGCCCGGGGCCCGGGCTCCCGCGGCTCGCAAAGCCCGGGCTGAAGCGCGCCTTGTGGCCGCTGGCGCCCTCGATGGGCGCCGCTTGAAAGGTGCACGGGGCAGCGGCGTCCGCCACCACGCGCCTGGCGCCAGCCGCGTCAAAGCGCCGCGTGTCGGAGCACTTCGGCCAGGCGGCAGGAAGCGCGCCAGGGGGCAAAGCACCTGGTCGCCGCCCAGCCCCGTCACGCAAACCCTAAAAGAAACCGTTGAAGAGTCGCCTCGCAGGCTCCCATGGTGACTGGCCGGCCGTCCCGCAGAAGGCGCACCAGTGGGCCCTCCGGGCCCCTGTACAGCTCCAGCACCACGGCACTGGCGTAGCCTGGGCAACGACACGCGCGATTCCACGCGGGACGAAGTCTTGGAGCTGTGACCCGCCTGGCCAAACGCCGTCCTTAGCCAACGCTCTCGGCCTCTCGGCTTGGGCGTGGGCCTGACTTCTGCCAAGGCTCCCATGCCTGAAGTGCCTTCAAGAGGTAAATCATGGTACCTTGGCTGCCCTCTGCCAATCTGCCAGTGCGCGGAATTTCCAGCGATCTCGCTCCGAGGTACTGTCATGAGTGGACCACACCGCTAGCCTGGGAACTTCCACCTGGGCAGCCGTCTGCATCTCCAGCGCGATCGCGTGCAGCCTCGGAACCCGGTTGCCCCAGTTGCAACTGCCTCAGTCATGACATGGACCATTGCTTGAGCAGGGTCTTCAATGATCCAATCAGGACCAACCAAAAATAAATGGAAAAAACACACAAAAAGGATTATGTGGAGCCTCAGACCGCCATATTCCAACAAACTTACCCAACATTTGCCCGGCATCTAATTAAGCGCCGCTCGCAGGCTGTACCGCCCAGGTGGTCCAGTTGCTGCCATACACGGCGGCCAGCTGCTGGCGATAGCCCCAAAGCAGGGCCTCGGTGACTCACGTCCACGCGCACACATGTTCCAACTCATTCGGCTGTGGTTGTCAAAGTCAATGGTACCACTTTGGGGTGGGTGCACCACCCATTTTAGAACCTATTTTAGTGGTTGGATTGGGATGCTCACTGGGGGTACGATTTGGCTTTTGGCCCATGGCCAATGGGAGGTGTTCGCCTGCCAAAAAACAATTCTGATTTCCGGTCAGACTAAGGTTAGTGTTCAGGCCTGGCTCCTTTTGTTTAGCCACAGCCTGCAGTTGCTTCAGAACAGACACAAAACACCAACCTAGGTCCCTCTCAAGTAGGTCTCAACGGGCAAGAGCCGGGCAACCTCGGCGGAAAATGGGCACACTCCAACTTAGTGAGGCTATCAGCTTTCAGCCGAATCTCTGCCAAATGGGCTAGCCCATCTTGCAAATAAAGCCTGGCCACTGCCAAGGACTTCCATCTGCCTCTCAAGAGTACTGGTTCCAGCAACCCAGTGCGCTGCATTTCAAAGGTCGCACCACCCCGCCGAAGCGAGTAAGGTTGGAAGTGAAACTCTTCCAAGTGGAAAAACAAACACAAGGATTTGAAGGCCTTTCGAAACTGCTGCGGTGAAGACGCCCGAATTGGCTGAAACAGGCTTCTCTCGCATCTTCTTTTGCAAAGAAGCACCTCTAGGCACTGCAAAACAATTGGATCCCATACGGTCACTGCCTCAGATGTTCCCGTGCGCTGGCCTGACTTCGTGCTATGCAGATTCAATACTCCGCGGGTCGGCCCCAGAGCGATGTCACTGCATTTCAAATGTAGCAGCTCACCAGTGCGTAGCATGGCATGGAACCCGAGCCCGATCAAGCAGGCCAGCTCAACTGCGTCGCTCAGTATAGCCCGGGCCATGAAGGCAGTGGCCACACCAGCCGGCAGAGGCGCGGCACGGTTGGGGGGCTCAATGCGGCGCCATGTCCTGAAAAGTTTCCAGGAGAAGTTGAGGCGATGTTTGGTAGCTGGCCAGAAGTGGTGCAAACCGCAAAGCGTATCGGCAATCTGCCCCACAGGCGCGCCAGCGCTCCACTGATACTCAATCCAATCGCAAATGGTCTCATCCAGCTCATCAAAGTTGGAAGTTTGATCCACAAGGTAAAAGAGCCGCCAGGGCCACCCGGTAGCGCCTAGCAGTTTTGTTACTCACGCTGGCAAAACGCAAAAGCACACCTTGACGCCGTCGAGCCCTCTCCCAGTTCGAAAGCACTGGCATGGCTAGACTAGCCGGCTCCCCTTGTCCGAGGGATTGTCATGGCTATCCACATGGGCCAGGACCAGAGAGCACGACATTGCCAAGGTGTATGCTGAGATTTGCTTAGCCAATTTTGTGAGTAGCTTGGACGAGGTCCTGCCTTTGGAGCAAATGGACAACGCGACGAAAGAATCCACAAGGTGGACAATCCTGCAATTGAATTGGGGCTTGAAGCGGGCCCGCCACTTCAAGGCAAGCAGCAGCGCCCTCATCTCAAGTGAGTTGATGTGATGTAGGAACTTCCACTTGGTAGCAAAGACTGTTTGCCAGCGCCAAATGACAGCCGGTATGGATTGCCTGGAGCTGGCCTTGGGATTCAGCAACTCCCCCGTGGTGATTTTCACATCTGAGCCTGTGTGGTTGGTTTGTCGCATTAGGTGCTCAGCAATCATTCTTGCGCAACCTTCCTCGTCGAGAGCAGGGCATTGCTGTCCGCCAAAGCTCTTCCAACGAGAAAGGGGCGCCTGGAAATCAGCACGAAGGCCGCAGCCCGGGGAAAGCCCCAGCCGCAACATCAATTGCTCCACTGGCAGCATTGGACAGAAGCGACGGCACATTTGGTTGCACACCCAGGCAAAAGACACCATTGCAAAGCTGTCCCCAATGAGAGACAACCTCTTGTCCTCGTAAGCGGTGGGTGACTGCTTGGCTTCTGAGGCTGACATGGCAGGCTCGGTATGTCCCGCCCCGAATCCCATCAGAAGCTCTCGCTCCGAGGAGTCCAGCAATCTCAAATGATGTTCAGCATCCTGAAGGCAAAATTCTCGTCTGTACTGGTAGGGTGGGAACCGGCATTGGGCTTCCTTCCACCTTTTCACCATCTGCTGGAGTTCGGTTGAGTCCGGCCGGCATGGGAGGCGGCTTCTTCCGCACTATGCTTTTCATGAAGGTTGGGAACCAAGCTGTTTGCTCAAAGCCCCAGCTCCACCCTGGCCGTATCCACTGTGCAGTAGTAACATCTCCGCCGGTCATGGTCACATGTGTTACCCCGTCTTGGACATGAAGCCAGACATCCGCTGAGGCTGTAAACTCCTCTGATGACCACACCAATCGTGGCCGGAAAAGCACATCACATCAGCCGAACCAAGCCGGAAGGGCCAGACTTCCAAACCGGCAGAAATCTCATCACGAGCGTGCGCATCCATAGAAGCAACATTCTCAAATGTCCATCGGACAGCAGCGAAGCTTCCAAAGATGTGTTGGATCCATCCCAAGTTCTCACGTAGCACCCAAGACAGGTTGCTTCCCTCTCCTTCCAGGTTCTGTCTGAAGGCTCTTGCAGATGAAAGGTGGATACAAGGGAAGCCGCCCCAAACATGCACTTCTTGGGTGCCCGGAAAAACGCTGGCCCAACTCTCCACCATGTCAACGGTCACGTCATGAATGTCGTTGACAAAGATTGTTGCTGGCCAACCCTTTCGCGTGACCCGGTTCGCACGCTTGTCAATTTAGCCCTGGACAGGTCGTAGGCCCGGAAGGCCCCCCCAATGCCGTTGAAGTAGGAAATCACAAGTATTGGAACAGCCAGCGGACTAGCTTCCGGGGCCGCCAGTCGCCTGCCGAGATCCATTCCCGACCATGAAAGACCAGTGCTCCTGCAGACTGCCCCTCCGGTCAGCGACGCATCGCTGGCTGTGATCTCCGTGCTCAGCTTCCTTCGCAAATCAGCCCCGAGCAAAGGAGAAAGGCAGACCATCATGAATAGTTCCAAGTGAGCCTTACCTTCCAGGCGACGCTTTGTAAATTGCAGCCCAAATCGCTGACAGAGCCCCAGAGTGCCCAAAGCTGTTTTGAACACCCTTGGCATTCCGCCACTCAGCCAACCAAGGGACAATTCAGAAATAAAGATTGCGTCCGCCTTCCGTTTGTCCTCAGCGGACACAACCCCCGCGAATTTCCAAACTGCCTCGGCCCGCTGATGAAACTCACGCCCTGAAACTGCGTCTTGTCCTAGTTTGGCACGTTCCGCAGCTGCAAAGTTGTCAAGGTACACCTGCCATCACGATTTTGGCCCGGTTGTGTCCAGCCAATCGTTAAGCCAGCGGGGCACTCCAAGCCCTCTGCGTAACTCATGCTGTCGAGGAAGACCTCCTAGGTCCATCAATTTCCTGCTAATCATCTGCATCACGCCTATGTTGGCAGCAATTGTGTAGTGGCGAGATGGGTCCAGCCCCACTTGGTCTCCAGTGAAGGAAAAGTTGAAAGCGAGAAAAGGGTGCCACTCGCACGGGATTCGAAATAAATAGAATGCCGCAGCCATGTCACTCTGGTAGCATAGCAACTCCTCGTCATCTGATAGCACAACTGACTGCCAAGCAGAAATATTCGGGAGTGTCCCCACATCACCCTGAATGTACTTTTGACACCGGTTGGCCGGCACGAAATTCATTATGGTCCGCACCACGCACCGGCCATCAGGAAGCGTCTTGGATTTGGGAACCCCAAAGAGTCCCGAAAGGACAGGAACTCCATCTTGCTTGAAGACACTGTCCAAATCGATCCAAGCGCAAACATTTCTCTCCACCAGGAGCTGGCAGACTGCCAGCTCTTCTCCAGGCCTCACGCGCACCTTTGCCTGTGTTGGGCCAGACTCCCGGTTTGCCACGGGTAAGATACATTCAGCAGGGTTTGCAAGCAGAAGCTTTGTGTGCCCGCTGACAAATTGCATACTGTCGATCTGGCCACCGTGACCGTAAGCGGGTAGCCCTGGCTCCATTTGAGCCACGGACAACGGTAGTAAAGGTAGTACCTCCTCGCCGCAGTAAGAGATTGTGGTCTTGGCCATCTCGGCTAGCACGCTCTCAACGGTCACTGCAAAATTGGAGTCCCGGCTGAGAAACCCAGCCACTTGCCTCTTCAAATGTTTCACGGCCTCCTGCCCATTCGCCAGAGGCTGCCCTTGGGCAAGTCCCGGAAACCCCGCCAGCCAGTTGATGGCGTAGAGGGACATCGCCAACCAGCAGTCTTCCACGCGCAGTTGCCAAAAACAGCTGCCACTGCTGAGCGGCAGGGGCAACAAGTCAGGATGTTTCGCCCTGACCTGCTGAAGGCTGTGGCCCAACGGCCCAACAAGGGCCGTCAATGATGAATTCAACAGGCTTATCTCATCATGAAGTAAGCCCCATCCCACTCTCAATCCCAGCTCGGCAAAGCAGCCAGCCGCACACACCCAGTCAAGGTACCTATCCTTGCTCATACTGTTCGGCTGCTGTCCTGCACTGCCTAGGACTTCGCGTCCGCGTCTGGGTGCTTCTCCTTGTCCTTCCCTTTCTTCGTCTTCGTCTTGCCCTTGCCGTGGTCCTTGTCCTTGCCCTTCGCCTTTCCAGCACCCTTGTGCCAACCTACATCGTTGGAACGCGGCTCCCACTTCCACTGCTTCTGGTGCTGTTGCGCACCCTAGCCCTGGCTCGGCAAACTCACACGCTCCACCAGCCGGGCATGCCGCTGGGCGGCCAGTAGCACCTCCGGCTTTGCAGATAACGTGTCCTTCAAGCTCTCCACCTCGAGGTACCGAGCCGCGGCCCAACTTCCGGCATGCAGGGCATGCTCTATGGCCACGAAGCGTCCACTTAGAATATCTCCCAGTTTTTCGAGCTGTCCTTCGCGGAGCAGGTCGATCACCCGAGAAAGCAGGAAGAGTTCTTTGACGTCTCTGCTTCTGCTGTCGAATCTCTGCCTCACAAAAAGGTTCAAATAGGTCATCAGTCGTGCCGGGGACTCGATGGACCCGAGGGCATCTCCATCCCCATCTGCCAGCTGCACCTCTGACAGCTGACCCCGCACATGGTTGATAAGATCCCGCAACACGCACCCCGGTTCTGCTTGAGCAAGCTTCTTGAGGGGCGGAAGTAGCTTCTTTCCAGACTCGCTTTCGCTGCTGCTGGTTGACGCCTCCTCTGTCAGCAGCCTGTCTAGGCCGCGTTTTCTGGAAGGCGCCTTCTTCTTCTTCCTCCTCCTCTTGTCCTTGGCTGTCTCCTTGGACGCCTTCTGCTTGCGCGCCGCTAGGAGCAAGGCGCCTTGCACATCCCGTTTCGATCTGACCTCCTCGGCCTGCGGTGGCTGTGAGTCGGAGATCACCTCCGCCTCCGCATCCTCCTGCTTCACAGCAAGAATCCTGGCACTCGGGTCGGCCAGCAAGGAGCTCTGTTGCCTGACTGGCCTGGCCTTGGCTTTGCTGTAGACCGAGCCCAACGGCTCTGCAAAGCTCACCTGTCTCCGAAGTATCGAAGGGCCGGGTTTCACCGCTTTCGCCTGTCCCTGGTAACGGGCCTTCAGCTCCTCCAAATGCGCCCCCACAGCGGACTCGGAGATTGACCCCGGGGCGGCTGAAACAGGGTGATCTGTGTCTTTCGCCCTGGGCTGCCCAAGGTCGGCTTCCTCCAACAACTCTTTCAAGGTTCCGGGTGGCCAGGCTCGAAATTCTGAGATGTGGATGAGCTTGTCTTCGGTGAAGCCGCACTGTTCGACGTCGCTGCGACACAAGTGAAGCCGGTATCCTCGGCGATTGAATGTTGAGCCGGCCAATGAGCGAATGGAAGAAAGCAAGCTTCCCAAAAACCTGACCTTCACGGTCAGGCCGTCCTCTGTCCTTTCCTCGGCCAGGACCCCAACAGTGACTGTAGCAGCGGGTTCGCCGCTGATGTATGAAGGAAATGCTACCTCGAGCACCGTGCTCCTGGGGAAAGAATGCCAATCCCAGGTGTCCCTTTCTGTAATGTACCCATCGTAGTAGGCCAGCGCCTGACCTGGCCACTCCTGATCTGACGGAGGGCCTCCATAGAGAGAGGATCTGTCGGCAGACCCCTCTCCCTCTGTGATCTCTTGCTCTTCGATCATCTCCACGGCCTATCCAAAAAGGACGTGGAGTTGTTGGGTGGCAAGTCCAACTCGCTTCCTTGCAATTTCCGATGCACAGGGATGAAGGGGTCCTCACGCGACCTGTACAGGCGCTGGTGCTTCCGACCAGCCCGGTGTTTCTGGCCACGTGCTCGCTTCCTTCGTTGCCCACCGTGATTGCCACCAGAGCTGGTACGTGGCTTTGGGCGTGGGCTGGCCTTGGACTGGGCCGATGTCAGACTGTGTCTCGGCAATGGAGGACGTTCAGCAGAACGAGGACGACGTTCCTGAGGTCCCTGTGTCTCCTCCTCCGTGTCCTCGTAGGAGTACTCGGACTCGTCCTCGTTCTCGTCGGCCACCTCCGACACGGTCCCCACCGTTGACCGCTCCAAAGGCGATGGAAAACCGTGAAGGTGCGGGGTTCTCCAGGTGCGGAGAAAGCCGCGATAGAGCCCTGACCTGCCTGGCAGTGGAGACGATCAGATCCTCGGCAAGGCGGCGAGTGCCAGCCGAGGACCAGGCCCGACCCAAGTCAGCCTGGATCGACTCCACCCCAGAGCAGGCCAGGCACCACGAATCGCTCCCCGCTCGCAACCCTTTCCCGCACTTGTTGCAGGGGGGCATCGAGCAACGAGGCTTTGGAGCGAACATGCAAAACAAAAAGGAGTTGCCGACCCTTACACTAAACTTCGAAACGAAAGAATTGGCAAACATCCAACTGGTTGCACCAGTTGATTCTTCCAACTCCAAGCTTGAAGGGCCAGAACCTATGCCACAATGCAGATTCATCAATCTCTTTGACCAAACGCGCCAAATCGAAGAAATGAGATGTGCCGGTTGTCAATGTTGGTTGCTCAGTGCTGCGAATGACCGGCTCACTATGCGAAGAGGCAGAAACTAGATTGGACCATACCAAAACACATGAATCTAAAGCTTTCGCGCACTGGGGGCGAGGTCAGGAAGAATCCGGGCTTAGCCCGAACGAGGCGAAGGAGGCACTTGCCTCGTCAGCAACCTCTTCAATGGCTGGGGGCAGTGATGCGCCTGGAGCCAGGGGCATGCGGCGGCCGACGCCTCAAGGTCTCTCCCGCGCCTGCGCAACGAGCCGTGAGGATGCAGTCGTACAGCATGTGATTCCACGTGACCTGGGCGCCGGGCGAATTTGAATTTCTGCTGATAGGGATCAAGAAATCCAACAAGCTGCGTTGGCACGTCGGAGCCAGCGCTCGGCAAAAGCTCTGAAGTCTTTGTCATCCTCGATCTCCTCGGAAGCGCACAGGGTGCTTTGGCAAACGCCGCTTCCGTTCCCTGTGCTCTCCCTGCGCTCCCTGCACTCCCTGCTTGCCCTGCGGTCCTGCAAAGCTGGCAACGGTGACCCATCACAGGGAGAAACCCCGAAGAAGCCTGGGAGCTGGAAGGGGTCCTCCTGAGGCTCGCCGCATGCCGCATGCGAACGCGCAAACGCATGCGAACGCCACCCGTCAGTCCTCTGGCGGCAGGGTGTCCACGGAAGCCTCACGTGCCGCTTCGGGTCGTGCTAGCCCCGTCCTGTCCTCTCCCCAGCCTCGTAGTTGCTTGGAAAAAGCTTCGCCATCAGCAGGTCCAGGCTGCCCAAGTTGCGCTCATTGTCGCAGGAGTAGAGGCCTAGCCAGGTGCAATGCCACGAACGCTGGGATGGCTTGCTGCCATGGCTTAGCAGGAAGCCACTGTTTTCCCCCCCACCCCAAACCAGCTTGCCCTGATCGCACCCGAAGATCGAAGGCTCAAAGCTCGTGCAACGCGGCGCAGGATGGCGCCGAGCGGCGCACGCTGGCATCACGCACGTCCAGCGTCTTCCACCAGGGCACCTGCCCGTAGCTGGCATTCAGCGAGCCGGCCAGGTTGCGGAACCTCAGGCGCGCTGCTTTTTTTCTGTATCCTCGCGCACGTGGCACCCTCCGCACATTGGCTCCCGAACTTTGCTGGTCCGAGGTGCTGAACTTCTGCCTCCCCGAGCAACGAGCCAAAGCCGCAGTGCCCAGGCGTCAAGTAGCGCTTGGTGAGGCGATGCCTCGCTACGAAGCACTTACGAAGCGCATCGATATGGCCGAAATGCCCGCCATCTGCCTGCCGTGGCCAGCGCTGACGCCGAAGGGCAGCCGGCCTCGGGCCGCTGGGTTTGCACCCTGCAAATTATCTTTGCTGTGCTTCCTTCCTTCTTCTTCCTTCTTCTTCCTTCCCTCTTCTTCCTTCTTCTTCCTTCTTCCTTCTTTCCTCCTTTTACTTGCCCAAAGCACCTAACATCTCAGGTCTTGCCCGTCTTACTCTACCTCTCAAGAGCCGGCGACTCCTTGGCCGCGGCGCACTGCAGCTCCGGCGCCGCCGGCGCCGCCTTGGGCGCCGGCGCCCAGCAGCCCAGGGGCGCCCAGAGGTTCCGCGCCCCGTGGCGGTGCACCACCTGCGGGAGCCCCAACCGGGACGAAGGGAAACCCCTGGTAGACATGGCCGGAAGGGGCAAGTCCGAGGTCCAAACAATTTTTCCCTCCATCCTGAAGACAATGACAAGTTGCTACCCTCAATAAGGACACATGGTCAACCTCACAGTCCAAGACACATGGTCAACCTACCTCACAGTCACCTCATTCACGCGGCCGGCCGCGTTCGGCACCTGCACTAGCAGCAGCTCGTAGTCAGTCACCGGCGGCTCCGCCTGCGCCAGCGCTGAACCCCGAAAATCCCGGCGAGATGAAAATTCCGCCGAGGCGCCCAATGCACCTCATGGCCGCAGTACTTCTCAAAGACATGGCCATGAGCGGAGCCTCAGTTTGTCAACTTTTCCGCCCAAACCCCTGGGAAAGCATATCATTTCCAGGCCGAGTTGCAGCAAATAAGCCACCACCAACGCATGGCCGGCTGTGGTTTCACATCTGAAAACACTGAAGCTGGGCTGCAAGAATGCCGGAAAATGGTCTCCGAGATGCGTGCGACTTGCGAATTTGGACTTTCCTCGGATGGGCGTTTCTCAGAATAGTCCCCTAAAGTGGGGACAGCAGAACACTGCGGATGTTCTCCGGCTGTGAGCCTATAGGCATTCCGGACCAAAAAAATTGGTCTCTCGACCGTCGGCTTTCCGTACTGGGCTTCCTGGCGTTGGTTGAGAAGGCCTCAAGGCTCAAGGCTCCATGCGAATCCCACGGCTTGGGAAGCGCACGCAAACCGGCTCGTCTAGCTCCTCTTCACGCGTGCTTCCTGTGCAATGCAAACACGTTGGGACCTACCGAAAAAACCTACACAAAACACTCCCAAGGTCACAGATCTCGTTGCACCCGGGCCTACATCTTGCGGCGCCTCAAAAAAGAGGCCGCGTCGAGCGGGCCGTACATTGCCTGAGGCCCACACCTGCACCACAAAGGGCGTGTGGCCTCAGACGATCCGCGTGCCATGCTCAATGTTCCTCACACAACTGCTCTCATGCAAAGTGAACATTACCTCTATATGACATGTTGAAGCTGCAAGGAAGTCTTACTTTAACCCAAATGGATGGCAGAGCTACACTGGGGGGGCCGGGCTGCCCGAGGATCCGCCCTCGCTGTGCTCGGACAGCAACCCCGAAAGGTTGGCGGAGCCTCGGCTCTCCACTCGCTCTCCGCCCTCGGCGAGCCCAGCAGTACCTGAACTCAACGTGGGAGATGAAGAGCCGTGGGAGCCGTGGGCGACGTGATGCCCCTCGCCCTGGCAAGATCCCGAGGTTCCGTGGCGTTTCTGTTTCATCTGCAACGCAAAGCTTTGCTCCCGACTTTTCATTGGCCTCCGCATCTGACTGCGGGACTGGCTTGCGATGGCCAAACGAGCGCTCGCTGGTCGTTTTGACCTGCGCCCTTGCGCTCAAGCTCAGCTCGGCCGCAAGAAAACCTGAGACCTCGCCATACCGGTCACGCCGTTCCCGGCGCCATTCAAAGGGGGCGAAGGTGTCAGCGCGGCACCTGTCAAATGATCTGTTGCTTGCCGGTCTTCACACATGGCCTGCCTATCACAGCCAAGGGAAGAGGTGGCGTGACGTCAGCGCAGCTATGCATCCTTGAAAGGGACGAGCTCTCACGGCCCGTCGGCCCTCAACCTGCCCTCCCAGCTTCCCTTGCGCGTGCCAAGGCGCTGCGAAACCAAGGCCGCGGCCTGCCCGAGTTCGGCGGCTCGATTGAAACTTCAGACACCACATGCGGCCGCCGGCCCGAGTTCGGCCCCTCCATTTCCCCGCCTGTGAAACATGAAAGCATTGCTCACCAAGCAGAGGACCAAAAATGCGACGACCTCAGGTGCAAGGCGCAAAGGGGGGCCTATGGCCATTGACTGCCTAACTCCCTGACTGATCTTGCCGAGGCACTGCAACCCCGACGATCCTTGCGACGGCAACCGTCTTGGTGGCTGGCTGGCTCATCCTCGGAGGCACCCCACAAAGCTTCCCCTCCCACAACTCCCACAACTGCAAGGAAGGTTCCACGCAGAGAACATCCAGTCGAAGTGGTCACTGCTGGCAACCTGGATCTTCCTCGGTCCGCAAATTGGTCCAAACATGCCACGTATGTTCAGGCCTCAATCCATCTAACATCGCTCATGAATCGGCAGTTTTCTACCCACACTCAGTTACTGAGCCATCCTTGCGTCAGGGAAAGGGAGGGGGTACCGGGTACGGGGTACTGGACGGGGTCCCGGGGTAAGCTCTCTGCAAGGCGCCACTCCGGCGTGGGGCACTCGAACGGACAGAGCCGCGGATCCGGCGCCGGCCACGGCGTCTCGTTGCCCCCAGTCAGAGGCTCCAGCAGCAGCAGCCGACCGCTCGGAACCCTGAGACGAGCGAAAGAGACGAGTCCCAATAAAATAGACTAAAATGGGTGCACCCCAAAATGCTACCATTGGCTTTGAACCACAGCCAAAGGGCTCGAGTCAGAAATGCGGATATGTTGATATATGTTGGTATGCCAGGAGGCGTGACAGTGTAGCGCTGCTTGAAGATCTGTCGCATATCGTGAATCTGGGCACGGGCTCAAGGCATGCGAGCGCTCTTGACCGCTTTCAGCCGAGTCGCATTCTTGTCCTGTTGCAGCAGGACGCTCATGGGAGTCGGCTCCAGCCTTAGCAAAGGACCGACAAACAGCTTCCGCATCGCATCTTGCCGAGGCACAGGAACTCCACCCGGTCGCTGCCTGAGCCGAGCACCCGGAACCAAACTGAGGCAACCGAGTAGGAAACAACAAAACCAAAAAACAAAAACATCAAAAAACAAGGAAAGGGGAATTCGGAATTTCCTTCCGGGGGCCAACGGGTCACAAAACACAAGCCGAGAAGGAAGCTAAGCCCCTTTCGCGGGGGCAAGCCGAGCGGTGACCGATGAGCCCTGCGAGGCAGAGTGGAATCCGAGGCGCCCGTGTACCTGGCAGAGGCCTGGCTGCACTCCACCAGGCGCGACATGCGCAGCCTGCCGCGCTCCAAGGCGTCGTCCAGCATCGTCACCCTCGGGTCCCGATCCCCGAGCCATCCCCGCAGCCATCCGCGAGCCATCCGCGAGCCCCGCGAGCGGCTCCCACAAAAAAACAGAATGGCTGCTCAGAAAACCGGAATTCCACAATGGAACCTTGGTAAGTGGAATGGACCAAAACCCGCGGTTTGCCCCTTCTGTTGAAAAATGAGCCACCCCCGCATGTGTCTAGGGCTTGATTCCTTTTTCCATTCTTCTTTCAACTAATTATGGTTCTTTTCGAAAACCGGATCTGTTTCCCCTGGGTTTTTGATGGTTCTCTGAAAAGATTCGGATCCCTGGAAAGAATGGGGAAGGTACCTGTAGAATGTTCTGAAAAGACAAACTGAACCTCTGCAAGTCTCAGGTCCTGCTGCTGCCCTTCATCGTTCACCGCCTTCACCTCCAGCCCTGGCTGCGCGAGCGACAGTACCGACTCACGCGATTCCTCGATTTCCCGCCTCGCAGGGATACAGACAGAAAGCCGTAGCGGGAGGGACTCTTCACAGTGAGGTCCACATGGTGCACGCGGAACGTCGCCGCGTCCAGCAAAGGGTACCGACCTCAGCAACCAAGCTTTGACACATGTCCAAAAGCCGCACACGACTTGCTTCTTTTTTTCTTCTCCCGGGCCTCCATATGGATCAGGCTGCACCCCTCCCACCACATCCAGCCAGTTGCGGATGATGTCTTCCACCTGCCCGCTACCACACGCCCTTTCGGACTCGGCTCTCGATCTGGCCTCCTGCTCGCTGCCCGCCGGCTGCTCGGCGGCTTCGGCCCAGATGGAGTCCTCACACGTCACGACGTGCCGAAACCGGGGAGGGATGTGCCGCCTCTTGCTGAGCAAAACAGGCGAATTCAGCCCTGACTCAAACAAATACCTGTCTCCATGACCCTCAAAAAAATGGGGGGGGGAATTAATTACCCAAAATTAAGAAATGGGTCATGGACCCAATTTTCAAGGGTCATGGAGACCCTAGGTACGCCCAAGAGGTTGGTGTAGACATCACGAAATGCGGCAATAGGGCAGGTTGCTTCCCATTGGCTCCGAGCGTCAATTTCCACCACCAGCGGGCTCGAGTCCAGGTCCATTAAGTTATTCCAGGAGACCTCTCGGAACTGTCAAAACACGGGCAATCCATAATCCCCCCAAACAAAAAAACGTGACAGCCCCGTTTGACCCCTTCATCTTTCTTGTGTCTTCTTTGGGCTCGGGGTCCCTTTGCCAACTAAAGCCGAACAATTTTTGTTAGTTTCCCCTCGGCCTCCCTTCAAAACGACGCCAAGAGTGGAGTAGAACCTCGATCAAAACCACACGTGTCAAACAAAGGGGCCCACCAAACGTCGCAAAACATAGGCACCCCCTTCGGCTTCCCCCGAAAACCAGCCCCCGCCCCCCCCCCCGCACAACAAAAGAGGTGCCCCGACCAGGCCACATCTCCCGCCTTCACATCGCTGGCCCAGACCCTGGTGAAGTTCAAACCCGGCGGCGCCAGGGCGATGAGCAACGAAGCCTTTGGGCTCGGGGTGGGTCAGATTGCTTTTGCGGCGGCACCCTTTTTGGGGTTGGTGGAAAAAGGGAAACCAAAGGGTTCTTTCGGGATCCACTCGTTTTGGCGCGTCTCGCGTCTCAGCCCGAGACGCAAACTCTTGCCAAGCGGCGGCGGTCGGGCTGATCGTGAGGTTTCGCAGCCAGAAAGACCGTTGGAGAAAGATGTCGGCCTCAATGTGCGTCGAGTCCTTAGCTTGGGCTTGCGGATTTCCTCTTCGTGAGCGCACCTAAATTGCACGCCAGGCGGCCCAGAAGTTCGGGACGAAAACTGCCAGCTGCCGGGAAAATAGATTGTACACCTCGGACTCAGGAAAGCCATGGCGTCATGAAGCGCTGTGAACGGCTTGGTGCGCAATGTCGTGAACTCGAAGCTCCTTTTCCCGCACGCCCAGCTTCCAGCTTCGCTTCGCTGGTGCGCCTCCCGGGGCATCTTGGTGCGGCGTGTCGACTTCCTCCGTTGCTCTGGCAAGGAGAGCTCTCAGAAGTTCAGACCCCCGAAGCCAGGGTACCAAGACTTGTACTGCAGGAGCGACTTCACCACAATCCTGGGAGCTGTAGCTGTCAACATGTCCCGGAATTCGCCAAGTTTCCGACCCAAACCGGCCCAAACCGGCCTCAGGCGCGTGGGGAGGTCCAGCGCTCGCACCGCCGCCGCCGGCGCCGTCTCCATGGCGTCGAAGGCATTCACGGTGGGAGCCACGAAGGCCGTGGCCAGGCTCCGGCGGGGCAGGCCGGCAGTGTAGGCCGCGCCCCAGTGGATGAGGTTGGCCTCACGCGACTCAACGCCGCAAGAGCAAGCCGCACAAGCCCCAAGTGCCAAGTGCCAGGTGCCAAGTGTGGCCTCATGCCTTTCGCGCCCCGCCTTCCAAACCAGCACCTGGCCGCGACACGGCGAGTTTTGCGTCGGCTCGCTTATCTCCGGATGCGCGTCGGCGCGGAGGCGCCTCGCCGGGGTCGCAGGGCAAGGCCTCGCCCAGCTCATGGCCCGAAGGCCGGGAGTGCTCCCGGCCATCGGCCTCCAGCAGCGGATCCGCCGGGCCTGGCACCACGTACATGCACCCGCTCTCCTCCGTGACCGGCACCAAGGGAATCCTTGGATGAACCAAATCCACACCAAATCCACACATGAATGCGCCTATCCCTCCATACATGTATACATGTGTATGTATTTTAGCATGATAGATATATACATATAGCACCTATCTAAATGTACCCCAAGTGAAACACGTCACTGGAACCTGACACGCACCGCCGAAAGAGACCAACAACTGCACGCAAAGCCCAGGAGCCAGGTGGTCACCATCCCCAGCCGCCCGTCGCTGTGGCAGTCTTTGTAGCTCTTGTCCCGGTGGGCCTGGCCAAAGTTGCTGCCCACCTCGCCGGCACACAGCGCCCAGGCGAAGACCTGTGTGGAGGAACCGGAAAGACTCCTCCCTGAACATGGCAAGTGAACCAACCGCATCGCAGAAACAAGGGTAAGTATTTACTGTAGGTCATTGGAGTTTCCCTGGCTTCCCCCGGCAATATTTAGGGCACCCCCCCCACCCCAAGCAAGGTTGCAAGTTACTTGGCACAAGGAGCGGAGAGGCTCATCCTGACCTCCTGGCCCAGCAAATTCGCCACCGCGTCGAAGAGCGCCAGCAGCAATTGCCAGGGCTGGTCGAA